AGATCCAACCCGGAACCGTAACACAAGAAGTATTTGAAATAACGAATTGGAGAAAGTTCGAAGACACAAAAAGTTCAAGCAGAAAAAAATAATACAAGATTTAAAAAACGATAAAATCTATTAAAAATATAAAAATCAAAACAATATAACCCATCGAAAAACATAAAAAAATCAAAAAAAATACAGAGAAAAATCAAAAACTATTACGAAATGACAAAGGAATTCAAGAAGGATTCATGACTTTAGAAATTCCAAAAACATCAAAAAATGCAAAACAATATAAAAAATCCAAAAATATATAATTCAAAAATGTAAAAATTGAATAAAACCTATGATAATAAAGCACTGATTTCATCAGACCACTTCTGTAGATATATTCCACGATGACGAGCCAAACTGTCCTGCACTATTTGAAACCCACAAAATTTTATAGGACATTCACACTTCTAACTAGCGATATATATCTACACATAATAGATACGGACAATCTTTTCATATAACACTATATGACTCAAATTATATTTGTACTGCTACACATCACCTGTTAACACACAAACACCAAATCGAAAAAGAACTCAATCCATTCTCTCTTTACACACAAAAAAGAGCACTGCAACACTAAATATTGATAAAATAACATTTTTCTGCAACCACTGTATATTACATGGGCAATTCATTATTTGCAATATATTAAATCCGAATTTTACAATTCCTGGAGCTCTTGAGTGCGCATCCACATGTATACATATAAAACCATTCTTGAGTTCCCTCATTATTTGAAGCTCAAACTTTTCTATAAATTTCTGTTGCATTGACAACCACAAATCTCTGAAGTGAAGTTGTATTAAGTAGACAAATCACTCAGGCATTCTTTCCACAAATTTTATGATCTCAATCCTTGTCTCAATCAGTCAAAAAAATGTTATCTACTTTCACTTATTGAGATTCCAGAAACAAAATTTGTACATTACACCCTCCCAAACATTTTATTTATTATTTTTGCACGTCTTCCTAAAGTTACCAATGTAATTTTTCTTCAACACTTCCCATAACTCTAGTGTGCAATGCAACAAGGGATCACCCAGTTAGTCATGCGTGATACAAATATTCAATTCAAAACAAAGGAAACTTTCTAATACTTCGCGCTAAAGACCATTCCAAACTAAATTGTTAAAATAACAACAGATTTTTTCAAAGCCCCAAAAAGAATTCTAAGTCGATTCGCACTTGAAAAGAAGTCTGCGCGAGCGCAACATACGAAAGATAATATATTGTCCTTACAGACAATTAGCTCTCCATCCCTGATCGAACTCAAGTGAGCTAATGCTTAAATAGACACAAATACTTTTTGTATCTACAACCCCTAATTTCTTGAATTCAGGAAAGCAAACCTTTGAGACTAAAATTTACCTAGATTTTTGTTATTATAATCAAAAATTTTTATTATTTCTCAATGAAATTCAACTATACATTATTTCACAATTTGCTATAAACTCATCTCGTTTTAGCCATATAAATAACACAAGTCTAAGATTCTTCTTTGCAGATATTTTGAAAAGGCTGAGTGCCTTACCAGTTTAGCACATACTTTTTAAAAAATATCAAGCTCTAAATCACAATATTTTCAAATAATTATTATATTTAAAGCACAATCAGCATTATTAAACTGATTTGTGTTGTCTGGTTTGAAAACAAAAGCTCATATGATCTAGGATATTCTGACCGCACTCGTGTCAAGAGCAAGCCAAAACATTGTTTTTTGCATACATACAAACGCACGATGTTCGTTCCATGATTGGAGCTGCAGAGCGTGGTAACTGCAAACACCGTTCAGTCTCTCTCAGCAACATCCCGCGTCCAAGCAGCCACAAAGGCACATCTACGTCAACTTTAGTCAATTTGATAGATACGGTCATCTTTCCCTCGGCTAGTACACTCAATGAGTCGGTACTATCACCAAATCCCAACAACCCTTTCGGGCGTTTTCCAGATACAGGCCATTTAAGCCTAATGTTCACTTGCAACATCAGGAGCTTAAGCAGCAGGACTAGCACAACAAATATTCACCCTATTGCATACATGACCCAAAAACAAAACCCCAGACACTTTGCATACAGTATACATACGAAGAACCCATTTCATCAAAACTCACCCACACTCAGAGGCATAACGTTCTTCACAGATCACAACGGACATAATACACTATTCGATTAACATTGAATAACAACTTTTCTAATTTAAAAACAAATACAAGAATGAAAAATTTTCTATCAAGGTTTCAAGAAATCTTATATCCCAGAACCTATAAAAATTTATGAATTTTCTTAATAATTTCTAATTATTTAACTCTGCCATGTAAAACCATTTCTAAAACCTAAGTACATGACCAACTAAAAAATAAAAAATGCAGTTATTATTTCCACTCCCAAGAAGAGGTATGTAAAAGAGAATATATCTAGTTATTCAAATTAAAATGCAAGAAAGTTCCTTAAGAAGTTAATTCTGCCTTTTGTAACCCCACTTAAAATTAATTATTTTGATTAACACCCAATCTTCACCAAATCTAATTTAAGAAGTATAAGTGATATCCCTATTTAAATAATAAGAAAATCAAAATGTGCATGCAGATACTAAAAATAATTCACTCAGTAAGTGCATTTGTTAAAAAAATTATTAGCAGAAAAATGTCTATAAGATATTTCTTATCTCTCTGGCTTCTTTAAGGTTTGCTATTAATAAACCTTGATTTGACAGTGATGAGGCATGCACTTGTTCTATAATTTCATAAAAGAATATGTTAATTCAAATTACAACATGCACAAGTTTGTCGATGTTGATAATTTTGTTAAAAATAATGATACATAGCTATGAAAATAATATCATACCTGCAACACCAAGACTGTTTGCACTGCCTCCTGCTGCAACAGAGTAGATGCATTGCTAATGTCACCTCCACTATGACCATGGCATTGACTATTGGCTCCAGAACAGTTACTGAAGCTACTGCTACTGTTTTTACGGTTTCCCTGACTGGGAAGATGTTGCTCACTCCTACCAAGTTCGGCCCCGAGGAGACAGGTAACACTTGCAGGACTAACACCTGGTCCAGGCCAGGTCCCTCGACTTGCACTTGATTTCACTAACTTAGGGTCTCTGGGAGGCAACTGGAGGAGACTTCTCTTGAGGCTGCAACTGCTGGCTACTCCATTGCCCTCACCGCTTCCTGATTGTTTGATGCAAGGAGTGCTCTTTAGATCTTTTTCTGACCCTGTAGCAGGACTGCTGGTGCTGTTGATGGTCAGGAGATGGCGCATGGCAACACCTGGAGTACCAGATCCTGTACTGGAACCTCTGTCTCGAGCAAAAGTTAAAACTTCCATCAGCCATCGTGTGCCTTTCCATGCTGTGTTCAACTGCCCTTGGAACTCTTGAAGCTGGTTCAGGCAGTCTTTGGCAGCTGCTACTTCAGATAAGGAAAAGCCTGTATGATTAAGAAATGATATGTAGTGACTCATGATGTTTTGTACAAGAATGATAATTTAGGTTCATTCTTAAAAAGCATGTTAATGTTAATTATAAAGATATTTAAATAAACTTAAACCACAAACTACTTTACCTCTCCATGATTATGTTGAGCAAGTACAGTATCTAGTTCAAGAATGCAGCTAAGACGAGAATACCGGGATATTACATCACGCTGATAGGTACCCAGATGAACCATTTCAAATACTTAAACAGGTAAAGCAGCTAAATCTCCTCGCTGAAGAAGAATATCTCTTTGCCCAGGAACAGCACAGGCAGATTGAGCGGGAGGGACAATGATTAAAAATGAAACCTCTGGGCTCAAATCAACTACTTCCACATCATAAAGCCTGCACAAAAATCCAATGAAACACAATCACATTTGTTGATATATTATACAAATTTAATTTCCATCTTATTAAGAAAAATCAAAATATTTTATAGGTAAGTTTCCTTTTTCTTCTTGTAATATAATACAAGAAGATTAAGTAATGGATTCACCTCATCAATACACTCTTGAATTTTTGGTTGTAAACTTGTTTCAGGTTTGTTTGGAAGCTTCACTCACACATCAGAATTTAGGTCTATTAGTAATGTTCCAAAAATGTTTAAGATTAGTGTAGGTGTTGATGAGATTCAAACAATTTTGTACCCAAAAATGAGGGATGTCATTATGAATGAATGCATGTTATGATGGATGTGTCATCCTTAACTTGGTTAGATTAAAAGATTTTGAATTTAAATTTGGTTAATACATCAGAAGTAAGATGTATTTGTGCTGTTTTGAAGGTTATTAACACATTAATGGTTATTAACACATTAACACAGCAGTACCCTTTTTTAACGTCACTTCAGTAAGCCTAAAATTCTGAAGTTAATTGGAGGTTTACACTAAGTGAAGGTTTGGGGTTTGAAACTTGAAGAAATAACTAGGAATGTTGATTTCATTTTTTTAAATGCTTAGTTTTTATTGTAGGGGCAAAGCCTTCATTAATACCAAGACTTTCGACTTTAATACCATAACGAAAACTTTGGTAGGGGTCTTCCATAAATTACACAAAAGAGAGGGTGGGGCAACATTACACTGCATTACACAAGGATAAAGTGGTCATGGTTTAGTGTTTCATAATGCTGATATTTTTTTTTTAATTTTACTTTGCTGAAATAACTCCTTTTATTCAGTCTTGTACTAAACCATTAAAATATTACCATATGAAATTTAAAAAATGTGAATAAAGTAAAAAGTAACAATGCTTAATTAGAATTCAAAAAATTAATTTAATTTATTAGATTAGGGAAAAAAACGTATTTTAAACTCAATTAAATTGGCGCAACAGACTCGCAGCTTGTGCATCATCCAAAATGGCGCCGTGGGCACAGTGTATTTTCTGAAACTTTCCCATTCTTCCTTCAAAAATTGTTCTCAATCTTATTGGTAGGTGATATCTGCATCACCAACTAATTCTGAATTTAATTATAAAAATTTTACTATATAACACAAATAAAATTAATACAACTCATTGTTTCTACTTTATAATTTACTTTTACTTATTGTAAATTGGGAGGGGTGTCATGTCATAAGTGTTACTTAATTATTGGGGGGAGGGGGTCAAGCATGCCTTACACATGCGTCTGTCGGTTTTTAAAATATTGTAAATTTGTGTTACGTAATTTATGGACAGCCTCATACATAATTATATCACAACATTATCATACAAGTGTGCTCTGTTATAGCGAAATTTATACAAATGAGGAACACTCCCTGTCACAATCTAATTCAGAGCAGCAAACTTAGTAAAACACCATCTCAATACAAATGTCATTGCAGCAGTTAAACATTTTTTACCCTGTACATGGCTGCACTGCTGTTGGTTCTCAATTCATGGAGGAAAAATAAAACATAGTAAAACTCCAAAAATGTTTAATGTGAAATGCCAATTTGCATCGAAACTAATGACATTAAATCAAAAATGTAATTAAATAGAGGCATCATCAGAACTTTCAGAAATTAACGTTAAATGCCCAAAAATGTTAAATTGAGGTCAAGTTAAATGGGGATTCTAGTGCACTTTAATTTTAGGGGTACTTTTCTTTAAGTTTCTGTGTCCCTTCAAAATTTCTTAAAAGTGTCTGTAAAGTTTTTGCTTTAAATTTTTTCTCTAATAGAAGAACATCTATTTATAAGTATGATATAGTTCCAATTTTAATTAAAACTTTTGAGATTTTGAAAATTTCAAAACTTAAAAACTTATTTTTCAACCAACCCTACACCTTTCTATTAAATTATTACGTATTAAAGCCAGAAATTTTTTCTCCGGTCAATTTATCCTTTAATTAATACTACGAGGAAAAGGTTTACTATGCCAGAGAATCCCACTAGTTTTCCTTCTTTTGCAGGAGAAGATAAAAAATTGGCAGAAACAAACTTTCTGAAACCAAAATTTAGAGATTTAGAATTTAAATTACCTGTGAGCCAATGCTTCTTGATTGGAAACTTCCATGTATGAAAATAATTGTCTTGCAGTAGCTGCAAACGAGTTCTACAAATACTCGCCGTTGTTCTGTTCCTTGACTTAAGGATGCATTTTCCTGGGTTTCCTCCAAAGAACCTTCATCTCCTGAAGCTATGCTAGTAGTTTCACTCGATGAATTGCTGAAAGGCTTTTGACTACTCTGTTGCTTTAGGAACTCCTATTCTTCTCTAAAATTGCAAAAAAGCAATTTGATAAAAGAAACAAAATATCAAATATAACAAAATACAAACAAAAAATTATATATTACATACGATGACACATGTGGGTTATCCCTAATTTTTTGGGTGGGTTTTAGTAGGTACAACTACTTGAATGAGATCCACAGAACTCCTCATCCTTAAATAACCTAATTATAATCCTCTTCCAAGTCTGACGCTGCTAACTTGATGATAAGTTATTTCTTCCTAAATGCAAAAAAGCATTGTTCTCTCAGTTATAAAGACTATCACTGATAAATCTTGTATCACAGTATTTTCAGTGCAGAAGAAAACTATCACCTGTGCCGTAAGCAATTCCCCCACATGTGGTTTCTCATGAGTAGCCAGTTTCTTTTCCACTTTACTTAATGGGAGCCATCTTGAGTTCAAAACAGATACACATTTTGGTGAGAGTACATAATTCACTGTGGAGATCACTAATGTTCCCTGAGAATTCTTTATTGGTCTGTGGAAGAGTTGCCCAAGATCTTGCATACACAAAGCAGTCTGTAAAAATATCAGAAATTCATTTAATAGAAGTTCTAGAAAACGGAGGAATAATAGTTTTCCTGTAAAATACATAATTAGAATGCACAAGAATAACTGTTTGCATATAATCACACTTTCCGTGTATAAGTACTACATGTTAATTAAACTAATTAATTTGAATATCATTTTCATACTAACAAGTTATACTTCCAAAAGGAAGAAAATGTTGATAAAGATTCAATTAATAGTGGTTCAATTTAAGTTCAACTGGAGAAATTTTAAATAGTAATTGCATTCTCATTATTGCTAAAATTTTAATTTCTTTAACTAGTTAATTGAATTGAATTTAATAAACAAAAACTAATCTGCTTCTAATATTTTTCTGAATTTCTTGTTTTACCTGCATTTGAGCAGCTGCTTGTAACAACTTGATACGAAAATGTACAGTAAAAGAGCTGAGGCTTTTCTCCATATCCTGTCGAAGAGATTTGACATCATCCCATGTTCAGGCAACCTGAAGAAACAATAAATAAATAAATAAGTAAACTTTATTTGATAAAAAAATATTTTAATGCTACAGAGGAGTTTTTTTTTCTGAATAAAAAATACACATACCTTCATTAGCCAGTGAAAATCATTATATATACAATTAGGATATGTTTCATCGACTTCAATCACAGGCAAGAAGTCTTCATTAGTTACTAACACTTTATCTTCATGATACAATAAACAGGCCAGAAATACACCCCTGAAGGAAATATATTTCAAAATTGACTTAAAATACAAGTTTTCTTGATATAATGAAATTGCATTAATAATATCATTTATTTTGTAAATATGAAGTGCTTTATGTATATGATTTCTCTTGCCAATAATTCTTCACCATTTGAAGAGTTATTATTCAGTAATGACATGATGAATTGTCTAATTAGGCCGAAGCCTAGTGCCCTGAATTGTGAGAGAATGAAAGTGAAATTTGAAAAGTGAAATTTATAATTTCAAATAAAACATATACTTTTTTCCAAATTTTTAAAGTCTTTAGTAATTAAAGTAACGTAAATATTGTAAATACCACATATTGAAAAAATAAATACAGAAAATGAAATCGGCAATTTCAAGTGAGTACTGAGTCACTTTCCCCTTAATGGCTTAGTTTCCCCAATGTACTCTATTATAAAATTCTGATCATGAATTAGTAATTATCTAAAATATAAATTTATCAATCCAGTTACAGATTTGTTTTGGATATATGTATAAAAATTAGATTAATTTATTTATTTAGAATTTTTTTGATTATTATATTAAAGAATAAAAATTAAAAAATAATAAAATTGTAAATAAAAAAAGGTTTTAAAATGGGGTTCCATTGTCACCAGGACTTAAAACTTAAGTAATTCTTAAAATGGTTCTCTTAATATTACTGAAATTCCAAGGGGTTTGGGTACCACTACTCAATTAAATGTTTAAGTTCAAAATAACATATATCAAATGATAACAGAAATAGATTTAGCTTTAATGACAGAGAACTACACTTAAAATGATGAAATTATGAAGAGATATGTGAAAAATCAAATTTTTGTAATAACAAGAAAATCAACACTAATTGTTGTAATAATTTGTGTAAGATGGAAATCTGTTTACTTAGATGAATAGGTTCATTCTGAATAAATCCAAATCACAGGGGGGTGATGTAGATTACATCAAACAAAAAGATTGGGGACAATTTTTGACTGAAAGAAGGTCATAGAGGTGAGAAAATTTCTGTCAAAAAGCAGTGAACACACTGTCATTGTTGTATTAGTGAGAGTCTACTGTGCCAATTTAATTTGATTCTAGAATGTAGATCAGTTTTTTATATTTTTCTTCTTTTTTTGTAATATAACAGATTCAATCATCATACTACTGAGGAACAAATATTTTTATTTATTGTAGTGACTTATGAATCTTAACTTTTTAATTTATTTACAGGTTTTGAAATAAAATTTGTTAATATTTTAAAGTTTTAGTTTAATGAAAGTCTAAAGAAAAGAAATTATTTAAGAAAATACTGAATGAAGAAAAAAAATTAATATCAACATTATGTAACACAAAACTTATATGTCCTATCCCTATGTAACACACCGTAGCATTTGCTGAAATACCATACGTTCCTCTTTCATTCATTACATATTTTTGAAAACCCCTGAAAAGTCTAGGAAAGCAAGAAGTAAAAGTGAATATTAATGCTATCATCAAAAGAGTACATATGTATAACATACTTCTTAGGCCTTCTGTCCACCTAGATCCTATCCTTCGTGATCCGACCGTGTTCCGACGGTGATCCGACCGTGATCATTCGTGATCCTTTGCGTTTCGACCGTGATACTTCGTGATCCTTCGCGATCCTTCGAGATCCGACCGTGATCCTTCGTGACCCGACCGTGATCCTTCGTGGTCCGACCTAGATCCTTCGTGGTCCGACCTAGATCCTTCGTGATCCGACCTAGATCCTTCGTGGTCCTTCGTATTCCGACCGTGATCCTTCGTGATCCGACCGTCATCTTACCGTAATCCGACGGTGATCATTCGTGATCCTTTCTGATCTTCGTGATCCGACCGTGACCCTTCGTGATCCGACAGAGATCCTTCGTGATCCGACCGTGATCCTTCGTTATCCGACCGTGATCCTTGGTGATCCGACCTTGATCCTTCGTGATCCGACTATTAGTTGCGAAATTAAACGCTTGAAAACAAATGAAGCCCAGAATACGAAAATGGGGCAAAAATGGGAAAAAACCTACAGTCGTAGGATCTATCTGAAATCTCGTATACAAAAGCTACACTCACCGAGAAATTCAATGGTGCAAACCAGACGTCAATCCGACTATTAGTTTCGAAATTAAACGCACTAAAACAAAAAAAAAGCTTAAAACACGAAATTGGGACCAAAAATGGGAAAAAACTAATTTCCTTGAATATGTCTGAAATCAAGTATATAAGTACAACTCTCGACGAGAAAATCAATGGTGCATACTAGACGTAATTCCGACTATTACCTTCGAAATTAAACGCTCGAAAACCAATGAAGCCCAAAACACGAAATAGTGGCACTAAATGGGAAAAAAACGAATTTCGTAGAATCTATTTGAAATCTCGTATACAAGTACACGTTTCGACGAGAAATTCAATGATGCAAACCAGACGTTTTTCCGACTGTTAGCTTCAAAATTAAACACTTGATAAACAAATGAAGCACAAAACACGAAATTGGGGCAAAAAATGGGGAAAAACCTCATTTCGTAGAATCTATCTGAAATCACGTGTACAAGTACAACTTTTGACGAGAAATTCAATAGTGCAAACCAGACGTCAATCCGATTATTAGTTCTGAAACTAAACACATTAAAACAAATAATGCTTAAAACACGAAATGGGGCAAAAAATAGGAAAAAAACCTATTTTCGTAGAAACTATCAGAAATCACGTACACAAGTACAACTCTCGACGAAAAATTCAATTGTGAAAACAAGACGTCTATCCGACTATTACCTTCGAAATTAAACACTCGAAAACATACGAACCCCAAAACACGAAATGGTGGCACAAAATGGGAAATAACAGAATTTCGTAGAATCTATTTGAAATCATGTATACATGAACACGTTTCGACGAGAAATTCAATGGTGAAAACCAGACGTTAATCCGACAGTTAGCTTCAAAATTAAACGCTTAAAAACTAATGAAGCCCAAAACACGAAATTGGGGCAAAAAATTGGGAAAAACTTAATTTCCTCGAATATATCTGAAATCACGTGTACAAGTACAACTTTTGACGAGAAATTCACTGGTGCAAACCAGACGTCAATCCGACTATTTGTTTCGAAATTAAACCCTTGAAAACTAGAGAAGCCCAAAACACGAAATTGGGGCAAAAAATGGGGAAAAACCTAATTTCGTTGAATATGTCTGAAAACACGTATATAAGTACAACTCTCTAAGAGAAATTCCATGGTACAAACCAGACGTCAATCAGACCATTAGTTTCAAAATTAAACGCTTGAAAACAAATGAGGCCAAAAAACACGAAATTGGGGCAAAAAATGAAGAAAAAACCTAATTTCGTAGAATGTATCTGAAATCATGTATACAAGTACAACTCTCGACGAGAAATTCAATAGTGAAAACAGTCGGCAATCCGACTATTAGTTTCGAAATTAAACACTTGAAAACAAATTACGCCCAAAACACGTAATTGGGTCAAAAATGAAAAAAAAACTAAATTCGTAGAATCTATCTGCAATCACGTATAAAAGTACTACAGTCGACAAGAAATTCAATAGTGCAACCAGATGACAACCCGACTATTAGTTTCGAAATTAAACGCATGAAAACAAATAAAGCTTAAAACACGAAATTGAGGCAAAAAAAGAGTAAACACCTAATTTCGTAGAATCTGTCTGAAATCACGAATACAAGGACAACACTCGACGAGTAATTCAATGGTACAAACCAGACGTCAATCCTAATATTAGTTTCGAAATTAAACCCTTTAAAACAAATAAAGCCCCCAACACGAAATTGGGGCAAAAAATGAGGAAAAAACTATTTTCGTAGAAACTATCCGAAATCATGTATACAAGTTCAACTCTCGACAAAAAATTCAATGGTGCAAACAAGACGTCTATCCGACTATTAGTTTTGAAATTAAACGCTTGAAAACTAATGAAGCCCAAAACACGAAACTAAGGCAAAAATTGGGGAAAAACTCATTTCGTAGAATCTATCTGAAATCACGTATGCAAGAACAACTCTCCACGAAAAAATCAATGGTGCAAACCAGACGTCAAACCGACTATTAGTTTCGAAATAAAACGCAAAAAACATATAAAGATTAAAACATGAAATTGGGGCAAAAATGGGGAAAAAATTTCGTTGAATATGTCTGATATCACGTATATAAGTACAACTCTCGACGAGAAATTCAATGGTGCAGTCCTGACATCAATCAGACCATTAGTTTCGAATTTATACGCTTGAAAATAAATAATGCCCAAAACACGAAATTGGGGCTAAAAAAGGGGAAAAACCTAATTTCGTAGAATCTATCAGATATCACGTATACAAGTAAAACTCTCGACGAAAAATTCAATGGTGCAAACCAGACGAAATTCCGACCATTATCTTCGAACTTAAACACTCGAAAACATATGCAGCCCAAAAAAGGAAATTGTGGAACAAAACGGGGAAAAACCTGATTTCCTAGAATATATCTGAAATCACGTATACAAGTACAACTCTCGACGAGAAATTCAATGGTACAAAACAGTCGTTAATCCGACTATTAGTTTCGAAATTAACGCTTGAAAACAAATGAAGCCCAAAACACGAAACTGGGGCAAAAAATTGGATAAAACCTAATTTCGTAGAATATATCTGAAATCACTTATACAAGTACTACACTCGACTAGAAATTCAATGGTGGAAACCAGACGACAATCCGACTATTAGTTTCTAAAGCAAACGCATGAAAACAAATAAGGGTTAAAAACGAAATTGGGGCAAAAAATGGGTAAAAATCTAATTTCGTAGAATGTCTGATATTACGTATACAAGTACAACTCTCGACGAGTAGTTCAATGGTGTAAACCAGACGTCAATCCGATTATTAGTTTCGAAATTGCAAAAAATAGAAAAAAAACTATTTTCGTAGAATCTATCAGATATCACGTACAACTCTCGACGAGAAATTCAATGGTGCAAAGCAGACGTCTATCCAACTAATAGTTTCGAAATTAAACGCTTGAAAACAAATGAAGCGTAAAACACGAAATTAAGGCAAAAAATGGGAAAAAAACTCATTTCGTAGAATCTGTCTGAAATCACGTATACAAGTACAACGCTCGACGAATAATTCAATGGTGCATCAAGCACCAAAACACGAAATGGTGGCACAAAATGGGGAAAAAAACATTTCGTAGAATATATTTGAAATCTTGTATTCATGTACAAGTTTCGACGAGAAATTCAATGGTGCAAACCAGACGTCAATCCGACTATTAGTTTCGAAATTAAACGCTTGAAAACAAATGAAGCACCCAACACAAAATTGCGGCAAAAATGGAAAAAAAACCTTTTTCGTAGAATCTATCAGAAATCACGACTACAAGTACAACTCTCGACGAAAAGTTCAATAGTGCAAACAAGACGTGTATCCGACTATTAGTTTCGAAATTAAACGCTTGAAAGAAATGAAGCCCAAAACACGAAATTAAGGGAAAAACCTAATTTCGTAGAATCTATCTGAAATCACGTATACAAAAAAACTCTTGACGAGAAATGCAATGATGCAAACCAGACGTCAATCCGACTATAGTCGGCTTGAAAACTAATGAAGCCAAAAACACGTAATTGGGGCGAAAAATTGGGAAATACCTAATTACCTCGAATATATCTGAAATCACGTGTACAAGTTCAACTTTTGCCGAGAAATTCAATGGTGCAAACCAGGCGTCAATCCGACTATTAGTTTCAAAATCAAACGCTTGAAAACTAATGAAGCCCAATACATGAAATTGGGGCAAAAAATGGGAAAAAACCTCATTTCGTAGAATCTATCTGAAATCACGTATACAAGAACAACTCTCTACGAGAAATTCAATGGTGCAAACCAGACGTCAATCCGACTATTAGTTGCGAAATTAAACTCATGAAAAAAAATAAAGCTTAAAACACGAAATTAGGCCAAAAAATGGGAAAATACCTAATTTTCTAATATAAAATAATAACCTAATTAAATAACCTAAATAATAACCTAAATAAAAATTTAATTAAAAGAAATTGATTGGTGCAAAGCAAACTCCAATCAGACGAATAGTTTCCGAGAAAGACGAGATACAAAAGGCACCTCAATTGTTCAAGTTACAAAACGACTCCACGTTACTTCCCAAATTTCGAAAAGTAATAATTTCAGCACTTCTATCAGTATTTCTGTATACATGTAAAACACATTAAAAGAAATATATTGGTGCAAAGTAAGCTCCAATCAGGCGAATAGTTTCCGAGATAGACGAGAAACAGAAAAAACCTCAACTGATCAAGTTACAAAACAAAGTAGAACACATTAAAAGAAAGTTATGTTCCAGAAGATGTATCAGGAATTGCCTGAGAACCATGGTTACGCTGTACTTGTGTAAGACTAAAATGTTTTTACGAAAGAATTTTTGTTTTGACATAACACAGAAGCCTTTTAAGAGTCCGGCCTAATCCATTACAGGCATTTTCTTATTGCCTGGTTTTGGGTTCGCAGAAGACGATATGCCGAGCTCTTTAACGAGCTAATTGGCTTTCCGCACCATGTACTCGGAGGCGGGAAATTCACTTTTAATTTCATTAATGCTTCAGCTATTTGGGAGAAGTGTCAAAATGGAATTTTTATTTACTTCTGTTACAGACTCCTTTAACTTATTTAATATCTATTAACTCCCAAATTTCTCCTTTAACTAATTTAATATCTCGTCGACAGCCCAGGTTGCTAGTCATTAGAAAAATGAAAAGCTTTCTCCTATAAAACCTCATGTTTAGTAAATTTCGTCTCTTTATACTAGCTTTCTGTAAATATTAGTACTCTAATAGTTAAGTATAGGTTTTACATAATTTACAGGACTACTGTTCAAAAGTTCCGCGGATGCGAACGCTTATTTATTATCTGCATCGTCTGGTGAATCTGGAGTACACCTTCGGATGCTACACATAAATAATAATAATAATAATAATAATAATAATAATAATAATAATAATATTGAGTCACATATACAATTACAATCGTGTATGCCGAGTCGCATGCGATTGTATGTATTTATGTATCATATTTATCTTCTTGGGTGCAGCGAGTGAAGTTACATTTATTGTCCAGAAGCAAACCAAGGGGCCATAGCATTTGCTCAAAGGACCAGGGGAACGGGACTAAAAAACCTAATCAAGATGGGGTCATTGGCCTAGAGATCTTCCCTTTCATTTCTTTCCTGCATCCATTTAACATTTTTTGTTCAGCTGAAAAACTTTGATATACGCTAACCGTCCAAGGAAGAACACTTCGAAGGGTTTTCTTTGTTGTTGTTTTTATAAGAATGTCCAACTTTATTGAATGGGTTACAGCCACCGCATATTTTAACCGTTCTAGGTTGCGCCGTATGATAAGGTTTCTGACTACGGTTCGCGAAAGACAACTGAGCTCAGGTTGAACCTTGGACGGTTTCAGTTGTTGCCAACGCAGTCTGTTTTGGCCCGTGATCAAATATTAACATTCGCGCCTCCGGGACCCGATGGGGCCGGACAAGTCAGGCGCCGGGTAACAGTGCTTCCGTTCATGGCAGCCAGCTAGCGCCTCCGCGGGCGAGAAATTAAATAATGCATTTCTTTGTAGACTTGGAGAAAAATTCATTAGCACAGAAGTTAACACTTTAATGAAATAAATTAATAAATCATATATCGTTATATGGAATAATATGTTAGTTTTCCTACGAGATTAAAATTTTTGCTCTGCGTTTGGTAGAACGGAAGATATTGCGATTCCAATGAGCGCTTGCGCACCGAAATTACACTTTGTTTTATTTTTTTATTTTCAAAGTGACGTAAAATACAAACCAACTACATTACCGTTCTAAAAATTTAGAGATAGTTCATGTGTCATAAAGAAGGTGTACACCAAGTTTCATTAAAATCAGAGAAGGTGACGGTTCAAAATGTGTCTATTCTGCAACAATTTGACATGGCACGATCCTAAATTAATATTCTTCTGACATACATTTTTTTGAAGGATCTGTATCATTATTTGTCTCAAATTTAAAAAATACTATACTTTCTAAACAATTATATATTTTGATTATTTTGTTCAACAATGATGTATTATAATTCAATTAGTTCCATGAACTTTATTCTAATTGTGTGTCGATCATTTTTTTGCTCATTAATGATTATTGTAAATTTTTTAAAACTTTCTAATTTAGTTGAAAAATTATTGAAAAGCATCTAAGAAATATATTAGAGTATTTCTTTTTTTTTTTCTCTAAACCTGTACCTTTTCTAATACGATAATTCTCACTCTGCTAGCTACTTTTGTTGTCATTAATTTCCTCACCACAACCAATGAAATGGACAGTTAGCAAGAGTTCAAGATTAAAATCAGTGCTCTGACCACTGCTGCCTAGGTTAGCATCTCATTGACTTTCAATACTGTACAGTAGTCAACAAAATTGAGCTGCATTTCTTTTGCCTACAAATAAATTTGCCCAATAAGATATCTTCATTAACTCCTTACTTCTACTGCATTTATCGTGAAATTTTTCTATCAGAGAGTTGAAATACTATTATTTTTTGTAGTAGAAAAAGAGGGAGAAAGAGGAAGAGAGGACAAAGGAAAAAAGGAAAAGGAGGTAATGTCAGGTTAAATGATGTTGCAAGAAGAAAAAGTAGAAAAAATGCTGACAGGATTCTACATAATCACACAACATGAAATTAAACTTGCAGATTAAGAAATAATAACGTTGAATATTTGTAAGGAGATCTACATATCAAGAATGTTTTACATAATTACTAAACAAGGAAGGATTAAAATGCATATGAAAGGTTTTGAATTGAAAGTCAAAAACAAATTAAGTTTCTTTAAAAGCTTTTTACTCTATGTACAAAAAAAAATCATAACGTATTAACAATCCTGAAAAACACTCTGTTTTTGCTTATAAGAGGCCATGTAGCTTCAACTTACGACTTGGAGAAGTAAAAATATACATAAATTCTAGTGATAGGAGACTTCATCTGTTTTCAGTGTATTTCATAATAAAACCTTAGGTTTTCACCAATCATTAAAGTGCAGGACCTAACAACAATGAATTGCAACAGTTTAGTAGTTTCCAAATAAGGTTTCACTAAAAAGATATGAGAACATGAAAAGATATACGTAAAATTAAAAAGCAAAATTTCATCATCTTGGAGAGCTTTCCTAAATGGTATTTAGGTTTAATACTTGGTTTCTGATTTTGTTGTTAATTTTTGCACCAAAGAAATCCTTATAGATATTTTCATTGTGATATTAATTATTGCATAAAGGGACCACAATGCTAAAAAGGTGAACAGCTGTAATTAAAGAAATGTTCAATATTCAAAATAAATATGTGAAATTATATATACATACATAGGTTCACTCTTAATATGTAGTCATTTTTATGCACATGCTACAAAAATGTGATACTTGTACCTAAATATAAGGAAAAAGAAGATTCAGGTCATTAGGTTCTTTTAACATACTAAATTCATATGTTAAAATTTTAAAGCAATAAAGTATTCCTTCATTCAAGTTATTAACACTTGCAATTGAAAATCTTGAAGACAGAACATGACAAATCAAAGCCTTCTTTAGTCTCAGTTATTAGAATTTTTGAACATGGCATTACTGAAACAACTGAGTTATTTCTCACCTATCAATCAAGTGGAGATGTCATAGTATCAAAATCCACTAAAACCAAATAACCATTCTATCATATTCAACCAAAATCTCACACACTTTAAACTCTACAAAGTAACCTTCAGTCTTTACAAATCTTTTCTTAACTGATACTGCAATCAAGATCTCCTTCTTTTGGTAGACAATCAAGTAACGTAGCTACTGCTCGAGTGATATAGGTCATGGTGCCAAAGCTTCCACTAGGTGCACTGTCATAAAAATGTTGGCAGACATACGCAGCACCCCCACAAAGCAGGCCTCCTGATGAGGTCATTTCTCTCTGTTCTCTGGGCTTTGCACAGCATAATGTTGCATCCCCATTCACTTTTATCTGAAATTTTGATATAATATCAAGCACTTTGTAATCTTAAAGTACCCCAAACAATTTTGTTGGAGACTCACCTGATCTTCAAGAAAAATTTGATTTGCTTTGTGAACTAGATTTTCAACCGCAATGATATTCCCTAGCCAAGAAGCAACGTTGTATTCTGCTACCAATGTTAAAACCATAAGTGCTTCCACAATTAGCTGTCGGAATTCTGGTTGGGGAATTGAATTCAAAACAGTTTCAACTGCTAATGCAAACTTCAGTTCTCCCGAGGTCATCTGAGAAAAGATATCACTTACATTGAACACTAATATAGGATTAAGAACAAATGTATTAAAAAATCTGTTTGATCCAAATACAATTATTTAACATGTAATAACATTTACATCAAATCAAAGACATTTAATGGGGAAACACAATACACAATATCAACATCACAAGCAATAGTGGTACGTGTATAAATTAGACAAAATTTCAAAAGAAAAGAAAGCCAAATTTATCTAAATCAAGCATCGTGCTTGAAAATACCAAAATTTAAAGGCTCGAAAATAACTACATTGATGCTGAAGTTTTGAGAAAACTTATGTTTAATTAAAATCTACCCACCTCTTGCGTTAAATTTTGAGGCAAAACACGCCCTTCAATTGCAAGTCCTTGACACTGAAATAAAGGAGAAAGCAGCAAATAATATAACTGTAGCAAGAAGATATGTTCTCAATTAGTTTGAACATATGATTAGACTGAAAGAATACATGATATGAAAATTACTCAATGTCACAGCAATAAATAACAGTATTAACAATCAAATAAAGAACAAAATTTCTCAATAAGGGAACAGTCTAAATAATTATAAATAATTAATTTCACCCTGTATCTACAAATTTGCTTGGAATACCTTGGGCAAAGAACCTAAAGTCTGTCACACATTTGTACAATTATCTCTTTCACCCAAGATGTAATTCATTTGGTTTGTGTAGATGTTTGCTGTATAAGTAATGAACATTGTTTCATTATCATGAAATACTTTGACACACTTGTAAGTGTGTGTGTTTTGTTCCTATCGAAACACATGAACTGTGAAATAAAATATCACTTACTCTTTCCAGTACATGCCACAATCTAGGATAAAAATCTCTTGGAACTCTGTTGAGAGCCCCATCAAGGCGACGTCTGCGCAACCATTGTCCTTGACGATCGGCTTCCACCTCCCCTCCAATGTCGCTTTCTATACTCAGCAAGGAGCCAATCTGACTTTTCTAAGCACAAGGAAATTAATTTTGCACACAGAAAAATTGATAATGGGTTGCATAACATTTCAACAAACTAATACCTTAAACATACCTTACTAACTCGACTGGATTTTGCACTAATGACTGAAAAATTGCCTCGGCCAACTGAAAAAAAAAATTGATATCGGATCAAACCAACATTGAAAAAAAAAAAGAAAGAAATTGTAAGACTGTTATTAACATCGAAAATTGTATTTGAGAACATACAGAGCTAGTTGAGTCTCTATTAGCAATGGGACAAATCATTTTACATACCGCTACTTAAAGCAAACTCTTTGCCACTCAGAATATGGTGCAAGAGATTCTTCATTTCAAATGGAGACAAATTTAACAGGTGCTCTGATGCTTCTTCACCAGTACAGATCAGTGTTCGAGACAATTCTGTGGCCATCACCTAGAAAGTATGAAATTCTCAAAATTGCAGCGAATTTTACAAATACACAGGGGGGGGGGAGCAATAATTTAATAGAAAGTACTTACTTGAATGATAAGTCCAACACGTAATCTTAGCATTTCATGAAAAAGCTGGGGTTCTGTTCTTATGAACATTGCTAAATAGACAAGTAATTCCTGAAAGGTAGATCATAGCAAAAATGTATATTATTATTATTTTAATTATTATTATTATTATTATTATTATTATTATTATTATTATATTTATTTTTTATATAAATCCCAACTATGGCAACTCTTTCTACTGAAAATTTAATTATTTGATAAAAGTTCTTAAATATTAAAAAACCCAAATTGTGTAATTGTTCCTGATATCATGGATTACTTCACACTAGATATGATCTGTAATAACGATGATTATGTTATGTTGCAATTAGTTTTAAAGCAATTCAGATCTTATTTTTGTCAATAAAAAGTAAGTACGTGTTAGTAAATAAAAGGGTCAGAAAACAGCATTACAACTAAGAAAACTTTATACAAAAATTAACTGAGTAATAAGTAAAACGTAATAGAAATAAAATGTCTTCATTCAAGGAACAACAATTACTCACGTGAACTTTAAAGAAAGTAAGAAAAATTTCACCTATTGAATAAAAAATGTCATGATCAAAATGTTATTAACTTGAATTATACTGTACTTCATATTTTTCGAGATCCATTTGTTCGGTAAATGCATCATAACTTTTTTTTTTCCTCTTAAGCCGATTGATGATTCTGCATTCCTTTTCTTTCCAGTTCATGAAGCATTCAATAACATTAGGGGCATAATTATTACAAAGCTCTAAGTTGTTCTGGCTTTCTATTCAGTAGTTACAAAATTCTTTCACAAATATGTTTTCTTTGAAACTTAAAATGCATTTGTGAATTGTTTAATTTCAAGAAAGTACAAATTATTGAAGCAAACAGGCCCTATTGCATATTCGTGCTAAACACTATGTCCCCTTCAACAAGCAATTACAGAATTGCAGATTCAAACCTGAGTTAGCATTGCAGTGCTCTCATCGTCTCCATATGCTTGATGAATAAGTTGCCGAAGTTCACATTCCGGAAGTGGAGCAGTTATTGTATGTTCATTAGTAGGAGGCATTCCAACGGTGACCTTCACATTAAAACATTTATTACAGTATACCTACAAATATTTCACATCTTTCTTTGATAAACTATTGCCATTTCCAAATGTTTACAGACCTGCTTTTGCCTAACAAGCAGGTCAGTTACAGCTTTCGCTAAATCTTCCACTCGTTTCCCTAACATACCAGCTGTATGACGTACTAAACCCCATAACTTCTGCTGACAGGCTTTCTCATAAAGAACTTTCAGAAGATCTTTCACAGTAACAGACTTTCCATCATCTAACATTCCTAAGACATCAAAGATTAATAGTTAAACAAAATATTAAATATACGTCACATTTAAAATTAGCAAATGCAAGAGATACCCTCCACATGCTGTATATTTATAAATTATAAACTAGACCAAGAAGCTGAAGGTTATTGGTTCATTTTGCAATGTTATGAAGGCAGCAATAGATGCACAGAGCTGCTAAGAGTCAGAAGGCATTACAGATTACATTAAATTAACATGTTGCACTAGATGGAAAGGAAAACTTTTCAACCAGCTTTTTATTTATGATCATCCTCATGTAGTAGCAATGAGGGACAACTTTATAACTAGAAGACAGTCTATAAGGTTCACTGGGATGAAAGGTGGTTTCATTAGTAAGAAAGAATTTAGAAAGAAACTGCATAATTGAAAGGAAAACTATTAAATACTTTATAGTTAACAACTCAAAATCTGTAGTATAAAATATAAATGTAATAATAATACATTTTCAATAATTATTTTCAAAAACTAGTTTACCTGTATTAAAATTAAGTCCTTGAGAATCAACTAGATATTGTAATATATCTCCTTGTTCTTCTAGAACTTCAGTTTCCCTCAACATTGTCAGTAATTCTTCAACTTCTGTATCTGCATATTGAGCTTCTGAGGTCATTCTGAAGTGTGAAGGGGAAGAAAAAAAAGAAAAAAAATGGTGACCAACATAAAAACAATACTAAAATATACAAAAGTATATATTTCTTTTCTTACATCTGTAAAAGGGAAACACTTCTCTTACAATAATAACTGCACTAACTAAAACTATAATAATGTAGGTCTATTCTTCTTATTCAAAAAATTCTAGCAAAAATACACAATTAAAACTTTTTGGATTCACATCATTACTGCTTTTCAATTAAAAATCCATCAAATAAAAATAACACTTTCACAAACAATTTAAAATTCCTGTAAACATTTGTTGTTTTTACCAATTTTGCATCAGTAAGTGTATTATTACCAACATGCCGAGGAAAAATTAGTTTTTAATATCTTTGCAAGATATGCATGTAAATACAGAAATACTTTAATAAGAAATTGCTCATTGATGTCATCCTTAAAAATGAAAATTGTTTTTAAATAAAACTACCAAGCTATTGCAGCACTTTAATACTGAAAGAAAAGTCAAAATCCAAAAATATATCTTTTTTCACAAAAGGACAATTTATATAAAACCTTCCTTTCATCAAAAGTTGAGCAATTTTCACTGAAATGTTGAAAATATCTTGTTACATGTATTACCCAATCCAAATCATATTTTTTGTAAGCTTATTCATAATATGTTTACTAATACAAAATTTATAATGTTACTTAAAGCTAGATGGAATGATCATGCCACAGTTCCTCCATGAATTGGTTTGAACATTAGATGCTACTTAAACTACCTCTGTCGATGCCCATGTTGTTTCCACAGTGGTACAACATCTTCTGGGGAAGGTGATCGTGCTTTTCCATTCCTCACATCTGACTCCAGGCACATAGGTGTTATTTGAGCTAATGAAAGACGTCGCTCATCACTGTGCATACCCAAACTTTCAGCTAGAAATGGTGGCATTACAAGCATCAGTTAAAATTATACTTCCTCTAATAACATTTTTAGTTTATTTTGTTCTAAAAGCCACTTGAACTAAAATGGCTAAGAATTCCAGTAACTTTTTTCAAAAAACTTACGTTCCACAGCAATAGATCTAGTCTTTCTGATAGCTCCTTTGACAGACATTCGTCTCCTGAGAGACCTCTTCTTTTGAGATGGTGATCGGCTCAACAGTTGAGATCTTGGTGTTATAGACTTCAGTAAATGTTCTTCAAGATATTTATGAACTTGGGGATTAAGTCCTAAAACAGAATATTGTAAGTTAATGAAGTGTTAGATGATAAAATGAACATTTCAGGGATTGATGAATAGCATTTTGGTAAGGAATATGATAGGATAGAGATTTAGCTCAATGTGGAAGAACAAATAGAAACTTCGCAAACATATGTTCCCACTACATCAACATGCAAAAATTGTATTTATATTCTTGAAATTTCAGAAATACAACAGGGAGAATAGATTATTCAAGAGAGACTGCAGAAGAGTTGTGACTAAAGAGACCACACAATCCACAATATGATATCTAAACCAATCCTCATGTATGGTTTGGAAGTCTTGACAATGAAAAGCAGTGAGCAACAAAGACTAAAGGCAATGCAAATGAGATTCCTGTATCATCTTGCAGAAGTGACACTAAAGGATAGGCAAAGGTGTAAAGACATCAGAATTAGACTAAAGATAAAATATATAGTAGAAGAAATAAATGATGAACAGAGATAATGGCTCTCTCATATTGAGAATGAAACAAGAAAGATATCCAAAAGAAGTGTTGAAGTACAAACCAATAAGTCAAGAGGATCTGGGAAGACCACAAATGAAATTGCTATGTCAGAAACACCTGGAGGTGTAAGCCTCCTGGTCTACTGGAAAATTATGTTTATTATGAACAGTTGATGATGATGATGATGATGATGATGATGATGATGATTTTTTGAAAATACATACATACAAGAATGAAATGCAAAATTCCAAAATAATCTTCCATATAAATTAAACTTGTAACTATGAAAAATTATAACTCAAATTATTGTGTCTGTTTATATCATATGATGGGTTTGTACAATTTATATGAAATCAATGACACAAAACAAAATGAATATTCTACAGTTGGAGAAGAAATTAGCCTCAGGCATGCTTCAAACAGCTAAAAAATGTAGAATTTTGTAGATTGTAGTAAAAGAAATAAGCAAGCACACATGCACTCTGTAACATACACTAAAATGCAACATACATTACCTTCATGTTCAACTTGAAAATGTTATGATATAAGATAGAAAATGTGACATAAAGATGCTATAAGCCCAGTTTTCATGTCCTCATAGGGGAGTTTATAATGATTACACGTTTATTGACTATGTTTCTTGGGTCATAATCTAAATAGTGAATCCTTTTTGAACCATCTATTCCATTTTTGGAGGTTAAGATATTCTTGATATCTTCTACAGTACATAAATATACAACATAATAACAAATATGTTTATTATTTAACAAAAATCTATGGTCCCCTCCAAAATGATCTGCTGGATACACCCCTGATCTAATTTCCCTTTTATAACAATGATTAAAAAGAGCAGAATGTTTGCACAGCCAGTACCCTTAGTTACCATGTGACTGAACCTTGTTTGGGTAGTTTTACACGCACTCAACTTGTTGATTGTTTTCATGAGTACAGTTCCAGGTTATATAACAATTTCACACATTCAAAACATGAAGCATACCTTTAAAGTAAAAAATAAAACAAAATGCAGCACTTACGATCGGGCAATCCATCTTCTTGGCTACCAAGAAAACTAAGATTGGTAATACAAGATGTGTTCAAAAAATCATTTAAATTACCCAACATAACTCTAAAACAAAAAAGAAAAAATATCAATTATCTCCTCAACTCAAAGATGCACAATAAATAGAACTAATTATTATTACATACCTTGTTCCATTAATGTAGCCACTTTTTAACTTCTTTATTGTTGTTATTATTGCTAATGGAATTTTTCCTTGATCTGAAAACAATAATACGATTAACAAAAATATGTAAGACTGTTTTTAACATGATCTTAATTTATAAAGTACACACATTATAAAATTTATACACATACAAGTAAGTATGAAAAAATAAACTATGTTAATTTACAGATACATGCTATAATTCTAAGATTAATTGGTTATTCATAAACCTTAATAAAATATCAATATTTAATTTGTTAGCTCTTATTGCATTAGTATAACCATAATAAACATTAGTATGCACATGCATTAAAAGCTTTTTCATAATAAAATTGAACTATAGAAGTGGTAGGAATAAAAACTGAGGAAAAAACTAGCTAGTTTAAGGATATCTCCCAACCTGAACTAATGACAAATGTCAAATTATGAAAGGAATTCCATGGAAAAAATATCTTCAAATAAGTACAATAAAATTTCACTTATATCTAGGAAACAAATGTTATTGATTTTTGCTAACAAGATAACTCTAAATGACTTCTCGTGTATCTTTTCATACTACACAGATCAATACTTGGTACATAAAAATAGTGATTCCCCAACATATTTTTTGGCTGACTGTAGAATGAAATAAAATCGTGAAATAATATCAGTATTTACTACATTCACAAAAGTGTGACTATCAGTAGTATGCCTCATAATTAACATATGCTACTGACAATCATGAATGCCATTTAAATTTGAAAATTGTGAATTAATTACAATGAAGATTATTTAAATTTGTAGAAAAATATAAATAAAAATTTTCTCTTTGAGCATTTTTCTTTCACAAATAAACAGTCTTTATGTTCTTTTTTGAGAAACAAAACCAGTAAAAGGTTTATAAGATACTTCATATTCATTTCCATTAAAAATAAATACATAATTCATCTTGACTCCATGACCAGATAAAAAGGAAGACTAACGTTCAGAATAACTACATCCAAGATATGAACATAACATGCTCATGAAGTTTTGTCTCTTCTATCTAAAAGTGTTATAGTTTTAAAGCTTCTTCTAGTAAGCACGGTTAAAATGACTGCAGAAGTAGAGGAGGCAATAGCTTCCATGCTATACAAATTTGCCTGAAACTTGAGTCACGCAAAAGTATGTTTTGAAGCTTCAACTTGCAAGAACATTATGCATAGTTTCTGATAGTTCATGGCCAATGTATATTTCACATGTTTTGTTATACTTAATAGAAAAAAAAGAAAGATGGGTATTCAAGTACACTCATGTATGATTTTTAGCCGTATTTACTAAATTTGTTCAACCGATTGAAATCTAGTAAAGGAAGATAAGGGCAAAAAAATATTTCACATGATGATCAATAATACAACATAGAAATAGAAGGCAGACAAACAAATTCTACAAAAGATAATTGAAGCAACTTAACCTCAATTCTTTAGGCTCTTTAAAATGATGTATTACTACTAAGGAAGAGCCATTGTAACACATCCCGGAAACTGCTGGGGGAATATATCTTTCTAGACCAGGAGCATCTCAGAACACTGTGATTCATCATTGTCGGATGTATTAGACTATTTTTTATTAAATGATTCCAATATGCAAAGTTCCCTTATACATACTTGCCATAAACACCAAATGTTGCAACTTATGGTAATACATTATCATTCTAGCTCCATATGCTGCATAAGGAAAGACATTTTGAAGTTTTTTGTTTTTTTTATTTGAGTATTTAGTGACCATTTAAGAACAGCATACAAGTTTAAATTTATAAAGAAATAATACATGTTTTGAGTAATTAAACTGATAAATATCTATGGAGCCTTAGATATATGGTAACTATGTTTGTGGAGTACCACTTCAAAAAATTTCTGCCTTGGTGTCTTGGTCTACTTGTCATGCTATGCCATGCATAAGATGATCAACTCTGTCAAGAAATTACACTGCTAATTCGAAAGACAGTTTAAATACAAAGTACTAATAAAATTAAATATTTTGAGTAACATTTTAATTAACACAATGCAAAACTTTATTCTTGTAACCTACAGTTCCATATCAGGAATAGGAAAGTTTGTCTGTCTCTTTCTGAACATTGTGTATTATTTGAAAAGTTTTACCTAAGAGCCCAGAATGCCCTATCATTGTGATTGTAGGTCTTCCCAACATATGCCTCCAATTCATTGTAAGGAAAGCCAGTTGGTTCTTGAAATTGTTCACCAGCAAATCAACATCACTTGCCATGTAATAGTGCTCCATATCTATATTCTATACAAATATCAGCAGAGAAAAATTCAGGCTTCATTATATTCCACACATATTATTAATTTTATAATGAATATAGTAAATTTTAAAATTGTTTAAAAACATGTTGAGATAATTAAACAAAAGGAAAAACACCAATAAATCTCTTCTGTGAGCGAGTTATATTAATTTAATTGACAGAAACGTTCATCCCCAAAAGTACAACAAAAAACACAGACAGTTTCAAAAGATGCACAGAGGGAAATAAATATTTAAATAATGCAAACCAGAAAGACTTCAATGCTTCAACAAAACTTTAAAATTCTAAGTGATTATTTACTACTCTCAAGACATTAATATTTTTAAATTTGAACTGAGAAATCAAGACATAAAAAAAGATACCTATTCATCACTTTCATTTTCAGAAAACATTATGTTTCAGGTTGTGATTAAAAAATTTAAACCATTTTGGATCATTATCGCATGGTTTATTCTAATAACCAATTTGTCCTGCTTTCTAAAAGAAGCATTAGTAACAGCAAAAAAGGAAATTGGATTGCTACAGCATGCAGGGAATTCAAAACACATACCAGGAATCTCACTTCCATCTGCCATAAATAAAACCTTTTGCCAAAAAATATACATCACTCTTCTTTCTTTGGCTAGATCACATTAATTTCACAGCAAAAGGAATCAACTTATTCTTTGTAATACTAATTGTTAAATAAAAGTTAATAATTAATTAACTTTTTGTTTTGAGTGTCCTTTAAAATTCTTTTTACACTTATTTCAATGGCTGTCCCTTTCATACAAGTTTAATCATTTCCATTTCATTTAAAACTGAACAATTAAGAGTAGCAATTATACACTTGTGTAAAGTAATTAATGCTACAATCCCAGGAACATTTCACCACACATTTAACTACTTTATATAAAGGTGAGTAAGCCACAAAACCAAAATCTGTCAATCACACAAAAATTATCTTAAAATACCTAGAAGTACATTCCTGATGGCCATCACAACTAATGGTCGTCCCAACATATTCTGCCAAGATGATTTTAGGAAGTTAAACTCATTTCTAAACAAGTCTATCATCAACTCATAATCTGATGCTATGTAGAAACGACTCAGATCTGTGAGCTAAAACAGGTAGTAAGTATGTGTATACAAAAATATTCAGATTACATAAACTAAATGTCTGCAGTCTATTTTGTAAAGTTTGTATAGATTAATAGCTTACTTACCTGAGGTGTGAAAGCAAATATACGATCATGTAGAGAATACAGCTTACTGGTACTCAGAATTCCTACATCTCGAGATTTCCGTCCTGTTAAATTCAGCTTCTTATTGCGACCTGAGCATTAAGTTACAATATCAAATATAGAATAAAGATTACCACTCAATTTTTCCAAATAGTAAAATGCAGTTTTATTCTGTAATGAATGATAATTTACATTTTCACAGAAAGTCTGGAATTTTCTTTTATGTTTACTTCTAATATTATTATATTTACTTCAGAAAAAATATTATTGTGCCATATGTACACATTTTATTAAAACATTGAATACTAATCATGCAGTAGGTTAAACCACATAATTACCTATAAAATATATTTTGCCTTTGTATTAAAAGTAAATACAAATGGTTACATTAATTTGATTGTACACACTCCCTTTTCTTCAAATTACTGAAGGTTTACGGAGTTGCTTTGTCTTAAAATATTATGAGTAGAATGCATCAAGTGATGCAGGATACATTTGCAAATAATTCGAAAATAAGTACATGATTAAATCATACAAGTAGAGAATATTATATAATTTTACTCATTTTTGATATGATATTTCCTTTCCATTTAGCTAAACCATCATTTGCTTAGTTATTGCTTACCCAAATATGTGTATAAATGACTGAGTACACTCGCAGGTTGCACTTCTATTGGTGCTACTTCTGCCATAGTCTGCACAATTATATCATGTTGATGTAATTTCTCTCTAATGTCATCATCTTCAGCAAGGATAACCACCTGAACAACTACATCTGGCTTTTTTTCTGAGCATAATCTTCGATTGAGGGGATCCAATTCTCCAACAGCAAGAAACCCCTGTAAAATTTCATGGTGAAGAAATAATCAAAGCAAACATTTTTCACTTAAAAATGTAAATTAACTCTTATTTACAGGGAATGTGAAGGAAATAAAAAATACTGAAATACAAAGAAATCTATCGACATGAATCACGGTGATAGTGATGCGGCGATGCGATGGTGTAACAGTTAGCGTACCGGACAGTTGTACCCAAGTTTGCGGGTTCAAACCCGATCGAAGCCGTGGATTTTTAAGGGCAAAAACATCCTTCATACGCCTTCCTTCGGAGGGGAAGTAAAGCCGGTTGTCCCATGTTCGTAGATTTACTTGCATGTAAAAGATCCTCAAGCCTAAATGACGCCTCTGAGCTAAATTCAAATCGCCTGTTTCTCGCCCAAGAAATACCTCCTTTATCTGCTAGTTGACACAAGTGTAGTGAAATTTGCGTTAGACGGAAGAGTGGGCCCAATGGCCCGAGTCTCGCCATGTAAAATAAGGCAAATTAAATTCAATTCAAAAGGTTACATTACATTGTATTAAATAAATTAATCTTAAAAGTTAGACTTTTCCACTTTTTCATATTTTCCAATTACTGTGGAGTATAGTTGTTGTAGATTTCATTCACTTACAAGTAATACTACTATTTATACTTAGATTTGTCTATAGTGGCCGATGACATTAGGTCATTTTTACACCTCCAACCTTATAAAATGAATATTTTGAATTAATTCACAAACATCCTTGTCAACGGGGTTCTTGGCCTCAGAAATAGGCTTACTGCTGACAAAAAATTCATTTTATAAGGCACGGAGTGTAACGAATGAAGGAACTTGTCCAAGGAACAAGATGAAAAATTGAAGTATATTTATAAATTTTCAAAACCTACCTCCTGAAGTAGTTTGCCAAGTAGATAAAGAGACTGTGCCCATAAAAATGGACATCGCCCAAGAGGTACTCTTTTTTGACTTCCAGGTTCTTGGTATTCTCCAGGCACTTTGTCAGAAGGTACAGCATACAGTTCTGGTACTAGTCTGATGCCATCTTCTGTCTTTATCATAATCTATCAGAAAAAAAATTAGACTTCATTAACTGAGATTTCATCCTCCAATTAAAAAAGGAGAAGAATAAAATGGAGGGGAAGACAAGAAGCCATTGTAGGAGGAAACAGAAGGGAAAAATGGGACATCACTACGAACTTCTTCCAAAGCTGCTGTGTACTCAGCAGCTGCATCTTTATTTCCTTGAAAGCAGTAGTCCAAGATCAAATAGCAGTAGAACAGAGGCCATTCACATTCTATATTCTCAAACATGCGAAGTTCCCAAGGCTCGTAATACAAACGATTTGGGTCCTGCAATGATAAAATAAGGCTACACTTCACTTTCAAATTTTCTAGCTTGAAAATACTGTAACAAATACTCTGAGAATAATATTTCCTTGTAATACTGGAGTTAATTATTTTTAATTTTTACTCCTCTTTATATCTACCTCTTTTGGTGTTCGATATCCATCCCTCAGAAACCTTTTGCATCCAAAACGACCTCGCAAACGTGTTATTATGGCATGCCGTGTTTGTTGGATAAGTTGAGGATCATCAACTGCAAAGGCTGGGAAACTGATAACTGACAATAAACCGCTGTCCAGTTCTTTTGAACTCGATTCTCTAGGTAGCATAGACTGAAAAATGTCAGAATAAAATTGATAATCTCAATACAATGAGAACACCAAGTAAATAATGTAATCTGTTGAACAAAGATTAATTCTGGAGGTTGCATTTCAAAGTCAATGTTACACAAATAAACATTTCCAATGGATCTAAAATTCAAGTCCTTAATATTCAAAATCAAGACTTATCTTTCGCTTCCACTCCACTTCCCAATACATTGAGTATTGTTCCAGAGTCTCATCAATTTTTTTCCTCCAAATTTATGCAAATTTTTACCTGCATTACACTTAAGACAAAGAAGAATTACCTCCTACCAAGCCTAAGAGGAATAAAATGAAACTGCACTGCCCACATACATTGGTCAACATGCCACAACTTATCCCTCAAAATCTTAAGTCTCTATGGTTCTCCTTTTAGTTTTTGTTTTACTTGTCTTATTCCTATTATCTGAATTTCTTCCTTTTCCTAAAGAACAGAATTAGAAATGTTCTACTGTCTCTGAAAGAATATTCAATTCTAATTTATTTAATCAAACTATTCTCTTCTTTTTTCGCAAAATGTATTTTTGAAAACTGCTATTTTATAAAGTATCTATTTTTAGAAGCATATTTGTTGATTGTTACACAATAAGCAGAAATTAGTGATAAAAACAAAAAATTATTTCAATTTGCTTAATACCTACACTTGTTGATATTATCTGGAATTTTTATTGTTTATAATGGAAATCAAATCCTTTATATGTAATACAAGAATGTATTTCCTTTACCTGCAGTACAGCTTGACATTTCTGTGCTTCATCAGCCAACACATGAATGACTGATGTTGGACCGCCTCTGGCACCAAACAAATCTAATTCGTTCATAGCTTCCAAAGCAGCCTTAGCCATTCCAATTGAACTTGCATTCAGTTCTGGCAATCCATGATTAGTCTTGTCTCCACGTTCCCAAATTCCATAATCCTAAACATGCCAAAATCTCTTAGTCCCTTCCCCCCATCCACAAAATCTCTAAAACATCATTCCCAAAAAATCTCTTAAGCATTGTTCTTAACCCAGCAAGAAAGAAAATTTGGCACATGATAAGAGCCAATGGGATTCATTTGAGAAAAGTTATTTATCTTACAAGTGGCACTTTTGTGTAAGGTAGTTGATCTACCTCTACCACTTGGCTAGAGTGAGTGAATAACTACTATTGAGCACAAAATGCTATTTTATCCCTAAGTAATAAAAAATAATTTTATCTTATCCCATCAAAACTTAAATATTGTGATCTCTGAATGACTTCTGCAGAACTCTTAATTACATCATATATAATAATGAGTTACTTAATTTCTGCAAGAAACTATTATTTTGAATATAACAATGAGTCGTATAAACTACTTCAAACAAAAATATAAATAGCATACAAGGTGGTCAGATAAAATAAAATATTTATACTCTTGAATGTCATACATTATTTTGTCCATTATCATAGACAGTGACAATATTTAAATGAAGAATATGATTATTATAGTACATAAGTTTAAACAAGACTCTAAGAACATGACTCACTTTTATTGAGAAAATAGTTAAGGGGTCAAACAAATTGACCCATTGCAATATCTGAATGGGTGAAAACCACAATGTCATAAGTGACATTTTATAAATTCAGAGAAATTTGTTTATTTAAATCAATATTACTGTAAAGTCATGGTACTTTGTTTCATCATTAAAACCATGGCATTTCAATTGTCCACTAAAACTACGAAAATACATTGCTACTGAAATATAGTCTAAAATAAACATGTTTTTCTCCAAATTTATGAAATGTCACCTATACCGTTCTGGTTTTCATCTAGTCATATCCAAACTGAGTTAGAAGTGTATGAAAATTCTATTTAACTTTTCAAATTCACTGTTAACTAAAATGACATTCATGATGCCAATAACAACCAAATAAATAATTATTTACACTGTTGCAACGGATGAACTATTATTAAGCTCAACACAAAATCTATTCACTTAACTAAGGACTTTTTGAGAAAATGTGCAATAAGCTCTGGACAGAAAATATAATTATGTGCTCAAATCACATTATAAATTATTTTGTATAATTATAAAAAGAAGTATATGACCAATATTCACATTAATGTCATGGATTTTGATTCAAAACACAGCGTATACACAATGTGAATTTGTGCATATACACTCTGTGCAATGTGAAGATTTCCTATTACACGTTTGGAAGAAGTTAACAGAAATTTGTTCAGACTAAACATCTGCATCAAATGTATAAATTTCTGATCACAAATTGAAAACTCCTTGACCATATAGCTTCTCATTTATACATGCAGTACATAAAAACACGTAAGTTATGCAAAAAAAAATTAGATAAAGGAACTTTATTACTTACAGGAGTGCAGTAGGCTGATTCTATGTAGAACACTAAATTCTGTATAAAAGCTACTTCATCTAAATTGAAAACTATTTGGAGACCTACAAGGCAATATTACAAAGCAATTAATCACTGACTTCTTCATGCTATGACTTAAATTGAATAAGAAATCTTTCATTTTATACCTGATGCAGTCATCTGTGCCAAGATTAAAAGATAAAGAGAGATAGCATCAATTTGTAAATGTCCCCATTCACTGTCTCCAACAACAGATTGTCCTGTACTTGAACTATATTTTGCATGTATAGCATCTAAAGGGTTTTGAGTTGATTTAAATTGTTCAACTTTATCCTTCTGTTGCATCATAGCCATGAGAAGACCTCGCATCAATTTGACACAACTCTGAAAATTCAAAACACTGTTTAGAAAGCAAGATTTTATTTTCTCTTTTAAGAGTGGCACAAAGTAATGTTCCGAGGTGCTCAGTGCCAAACAAGCCAGGCCCAAGTTTATTTCAAATTGATTTAGAGGACTCTCAAAAAGCACTTTCAATTTCATATTTCTTTTATTGTAAACTTTACATTATATTCAGTCATTTTTCTGACAACTTACAATGAAGTAATAATGAAATTTAAATTTTTAAAATATCTACTTTATTTCATTTTACAACAGCTGAATAAAGCTTCAGGCCGTTTCTCATCCTGATTTCCATTTCCTCCTATTCTCACAATCTTCAATATCTACTTCTCTCTTCATAATTTTCTTTAAATACAATTTTGTAAAATATAGCAGTAACATTTGTGGGTTAGGTAATTTCTGTATTTCTCCAAAATTTATGTATAGATGCTTTGCCTCAAAGATGAGATTGGCTGGATTGAGAACAAGCAGCCTTCATGACTTCTTTCTCCATTTTATCTACAATTATTTTCAATTTATTCATTTTTCCTTCGATATGTTAAGTACTACTCATTATATGTTATCTTAACAAATCTAAGCATTATGACAAAACTACATCTTTGATATATGAATGATGATGAGCTTACTGTTAAAATGGATTCTTTGGCATTGGTTCTTTTGGTGTTTGTCTCCAGTATCAGATAAAATGCATGACATATGGGCAGGACTAATGCATCCAAGCTCTTCAAATCTTCCATTTTTCCTTTTCCCTATAAAGTTTGAAGTCAGTGAATGACTTCTTTCCATTGCATTTTCATCCATTCAACCTTCATTTTGTCTGTACTCTTTTAAATATTTGTTATGAGGGTTTCAAGTTTTTAACTATGCAATTGCCTTGACATCTTTAGTTTCCCATTTAAAATGAAATTGTTTTTTCTTACTATCCTTGAAAAAAGCAATCCAATAATCAAAAATCATTATATTTTTATGATATGATTTTTGTCCCTCAATGAGGCCAAAATTTCTGAGTTGATTGATGAGTAGCAAGAGTGGGTTATGCCAATTGGGCATGCAAAAAATGAGGCACACACAGAATGCCACAACAAACTACCCACACCATTGAAGTATAATTAAGGATGGGCAGTTTATCCACAAAACCATTGCATTTTTCTCTAAAAACCAATGCCAGCCTAACTCCACCAAGAAGATTTTGAGGGTTGGGCTGTTTTCGTGCCAAGTACCTCATATATTCAGTTATGCAAAAAATATGCATATCAATTCCACAAAAATTATAAAAGTTATTCTATTTGTGAGTATTGGCCATCACACACCACAATAAGAGGACGAAAAATTGAGTTTGTCCAGAATATATGACTAAATTTAATACAATGATAATAATGATCTTTAAACTACATTACAAAATTAAAATAATTAAGGAACACTCCTTAGAACATTATGCTATGTATGTGACATTAATATGGTTAAACACCTACAATTTTCCTGAGGTATAAAACATGTCTTTTACAACAAATGTAATGAATACACTAAAAGGATGCTTTTGTAGAATAATATTTTACTAAAAACAAATTCCCTTTTCTAATATGAAAAATTATGGAATAACATCAAAAATAAAATGTTCCACAAGAAACCATAAAACTGAGACAATGAATAATAAAACACAGAAACTTTGTATTGTTGACACTAATACCTGTTCAAGCTCATATGTCTTTGCACGATCTTCATCCATATCTGCTATTTTTTTGTAGGCCATTGACAAACCCCATACTGCTAATATACAATAGACATTGTCACGTATCCATGCATGATTGTTATCTGAACTTGCTGGAAATAACCCTGTAACTGGATGCTAAAAAGTAATCAAAATACAAAAGTTAAGAAACTAAAAGGAATGTTTGTAAAGTAATCTCTCTCTCTACATATATATACATATATACACACACACACACACACACACACACACACACCTGATGATGCATAATGATATTATGAACAATCCTCTGGTAATAGTCCAGCCGGACACCTGAATTGCTGCGACTTCTCATTCTGTAAAAAAAAATATACAGAAATGAATACTGTATAAGTAGGGTCCAAAAAGACCTGATTGCGAGGTGACAAGTCCGTACCGTGCAAAGTAATGGGACAATCACTGTCAGATAAGAGCAGAATATATACCGACCTATTTCTAAAAAAGCCAGGCTCCGGGGATAGATTTCTAACATAAAGGTGAACAGCAAAATCGACTACACTAATGCCTAGCTTCTTCCTAGCGAATCTAAGCTGGTCTAAAGAGGTTCAGTGCTAAGTATTAGAACAGGAAAGCTGTGATGAATCTGTAATGTCTTAGCATCTGACCGTCTTGGCCAGGCCCTGACGTCTGTTACTCCTGACCTTCAAGGCTGCTGCAAGCGGTCATTTGCGTTTCCGATTCGAAGCAAAATGCAGAAAAGGGGGCGTAACCCGGTCAAAAGAAACAACACTCAGCGATGTCTAGTGGAAGAAATTGTAACTAAGCGTGGGTACCTTCCAAAATAGTTTATTACATTACAACAAAAAGTGTGTAACGTGACGTGAGTTGAAGACTGCTGCACGTGTGCAAGTTACACGTCTGGAATATGCGGAAAGTCAGTTGATTAGAATAGAATCGCCATAGGCAAATCCCAACAGATTGATTTATTTACTGAAGTGTGAAGCCATGTATTGCATAGTTCAATTTCGTATGTTGTTATTTATTTTAACATATGTGTTGTATATTGTTAACGTCTCATGCAATAATGACACTCTGAAGGCTGAAATAAATCCCAGTGCCGGAAAATGGTTCACAAGTTTAAATACAAGCAATACTAACGTTATGTTGGGTGATGTTAACCATAGCGAAAATAAAACCAAACAAGTGTTTTTTGGGGAGGGAGGGTCAATGTCTCCAGCATTTACGGACAAAAATTATGATTCGAGTACATCAAAAACATCTATACAGAACGAAACACTTAATGAAAAGATTCTCCAATATGAAATTCCATTTGGCCTCAACGATTCCAGTATATCATCAGATCATAAACCTCATATTGGGCGAAAAGGAGTTGATGCAACAAAAGAAACAAGCTTAGAAGAAACTCCTGTTGAGCAGAACAGCAATGAGCCTACGAAAACTATAGAATTAGGGCAGAAATCTGTTGCAACCAATGTGTCTAATATGACTCCCTCTACCATCCGGCCCAATAATTTGACTAGTAACTTTACTATAAATTCAACTAATGCTAATGGCACGACAAGAGTTTCAACTTCATCACAAGGAAACTTAAACCAGAGTACATCAAGTTCAACTATGTTAACAAATTTTCCAGTTTCAAGAAATGGAATTCAAAACAGTTCCTCAGAAAACACGTTAAATGTTTCTGAGTTGACCCCACCTAAACCGAAACCAGAATTCACTAGAGATGATAGTGATGTAGATAATAATTCCTATTCTTTAACAAATCCAGAAAATGATTATGTCATTCCTGTAGTTGCAACGATATTTGCTGCTCCCTTACTCATTGTGTTGGCTATGTTTTTATATAAGAGGAGTAAAGAATTTTGGGAACGTAGACATTACAGGCGAATGGACTTTCTGATTGATGGAATGTATAATGATTAATAGCAGCCAATGCTTACAATTATTGGATGTCATGTGTATTTCTTTGAGGTTTAGCCTCCAATTTCTTAGTCAAGCCAAGTAGTTACAATAATCATTTCTTAAGTGTTTCCTTGTGATGCTTCATAGTTTATGCTTAATGACTAGGTATTCATTGATATAATTTTTACACTGTAATCTTCCAAGTTTTGTATTATATTTTTCTAATGATCCCCTTTATCTCAATGTATTAATATGTTAGATAACTGCAAATCGATGTAGGGACTTGTGAGTACAAAAACCAATGTTTAATGAGTTTACACCCTCAGTGGTAAAGCTATTGGGTTATTTTTAATATTTTGTACTGAATTCAAAATCAGTATGACAGTTTTTTTCAAGATATGAAAGTTCCAAGAGTGTAATAAAAATGTTATCAGAGTGTGCATTTATACTGTTGGTTTGAAGAATTAATATTAACAAAATGTTATTAAATAACAGGTTCAAAAAAGTAGCAATAATTATTTGATGGTATCTATAAGCCATGACTGGAGAGAGCAGTTTGAAATAGGAACTTTATCCACAAAGTAGCTCTGTAGAAGAGCATTTAAAAATTAGTGCATTTATATAAGTATCTTAGGTGCTATTTTAAGTTGACGTTTCGAAAGGGAATACTAAATATGCTTCTATAAAATGTTATTGACAATTTTATTTCGTATGGGTTCCTGTTTTGATAGTCATTTGTTATCACTTTCTCTGTCTACCTTTTATTTTTAATTTTTTGTTATATTTGGAAAGCAGTATGTGTGAATTTGTATATAAAGGAAGAGTGAATAATGGGAGTTAAATGTGAATATTCTATTAAGTATATATGTATGGTCTTTTTAGTAGGATTCAGAACAAAAAGAATCAGAAATGAACTAAATTTGTGTACATCTTCCATATGTGCCTTAACTGTAGGTTGTTATATTGTTATCTACAGTATTTGTATTTATGAAGCAGTTTTTTAAAAATGTTATTTTGTATTATACATGCTTATTGTATTTTTTCATATTTCAATGGTATTTGACTTTATTACGTGTCTTGTCATAAAGAGACCTCAAGCATTATCGTTCTTTTATATGTTATACAAATTGATGTCACTGAAAACATTGAAATGTGAAATTGTCAAGTATTTTAAATGCAATAGAATAATACTTTTGATGCATTCCGCCCATGTTGCTTGACACATTACTAGCCACAAATTGATGAACACATAAATGCGAAATGGAATAGTGTACAGAGTTTTTAATTTGTTCTTTGTTCAATAAATTGTATCAGTATATATATATGTATTGCTGAAAGGGTGGTGGTGCCACATAAACGCACCTGTACCCCTCCTCAATCCTAATCACATTGCAGAGCAGTTGCAGGTCACAGCAACAAGGTACCTTGTCAGATTAATTACGTATTGAAAATAAACATTTACAAACATTCAAAATCTATTTAACTAAAAAAATGTATTGTAATTGACAAGTATAGTTTATTTTCATTCCAACTTGTTTAAGGTATTTCTGATTAGGCTTAAACAACATTGGTGTAATTTTGATCATGCAGCCATTGAGGTGTCAAAACTAATTGCATAGTTGATCCATGTGAACAGTGTTGTGAAACTGACCAGAATACAAAAATTAAGACTCGTGTATTTCCTGTTTAAAATAGATTTTTATTACATTTTTAACATAAAAACCTCATTTGAGAATTAAATCAAAAAATGCCATTGCTAGATATAAATATACATGTATATATTCTGCATTTACACATTCTTTTATGCGTAAGATGGGCTTCTTAGCCACTTGCATTTCATAAATTCAGAAGAATAAAAATATTCAGACCATTAAATCAACAAACTTGTTTTTCAGTAGAAAAAGTGGGTTTTAACCAATTAACGTATATGTACTGCAGTGATGAATATAGCCTTCGCAGCATTAAAAACAGCAATTTTTCTGCAATATATTACAACAATATATACATAGATATAGGAGAAAAATATATACATTTAAAATACAATTTACCTATGTCTACATAATTATTTTATAGTGAAAGATACAGTTATAGTGATTAAAAAAATAATGCATTGCACGCTTGCAAATATTTCCATTTTGAAAATGAGAGATTAACTTTTTAAGTCGTTATAAACTGAAGTAGGCATTGAAACATTTAATATTAATAGTTTAACAATAATATATAATATTAAAATTAAACAGCTTAAAGGACATTAGTAACATTCATTTCACATTCATTATTTTTTAGAAATAATAAATTGTGGAAAGACACTTGCAAATATTTATAGAAAAGCATCAAGAAAGAAAGTTTTGATTGTTTCTTCAATTAACATAAACACTTCAAAAGTTTATGAACAATAATGTCGTAAACCTCCAATACTACACTTGCAGAGCAACTTCTATAACTACTTTTAATAAATAAACTGATTTTCAAATTACTTATACATATGATTGATTATGATACCTGATTCATGAAGCAAAATAATACTACTATATGACAATTTCAATTAAGTTTTTTGAATGTCATTTTATTGTTAAATTATTTAAAACATTCACTATTTAATATTGAATTTTTGCCTGTAGTTACATAATAACAACTCGCTTACAAATGTTCCTGCATAAGATTCTTTTGTGTCTTTTATAAATGAAAGAATTAACCTGATCAAATGTTGCATATTTTGCTGACTACAACTGTCAATTGTAATATTTGAAGAATTTCCAAGTTTGAGCCACTAGAAAAACTGCAAGAAAATAATTGTTTTCCATTCATTTAATCATATGAAAAAATATTTTTTGTAATAATTACTAAAAACAACATTGAAAGAAAATATCAATTTTTTCTACTTTTAAGAAGTGCTAATACCCAGTCTTTTGTTTCCTCGTGAATTCTTTTACATACGAACAAATCACATTTTCATTTATTTGCAGGCAATATTGTTTTTTTTTTTTTATTATTATTGTTTTTTTTTAATTCATCAAATCAATGAAAAGGATAGAAGAAAAGTGTCAAAAATAATTTTTCTAGTTCGAGAAAATAAAGACCTTGTTTGCTACTCATTTTTTCTGTACTTAAAACAAATAATCAATTTTTTCTATAGTTATTGAAAACTATTAGCTAGACCAACTAAATATTTTATCACCGCATTACATTTTGCAAATTTCATATTCACGAAACAATTACAACTAAGGTGGTTCACATTGTTTGCCAAAGTACTGATTTTTTTTAAATTTATTTATTTATTTTATATAAATGAATCACAAGTTTCATTTCAATTTCTTTTAAAGCATTTGTATAGACTGTACTACTATGGACATAAAAATATACTTTTTTTGTTAATAGGTTAAAAATGATGCTCCACTGCAAACTATATACAAATATGCAGGATACCGAGAAACTATACTGCCAGCTGGGTGATCTGGGCTGTCCGGGTGACGCCGTGTCGCCTTCGATGCGGCGTCACCCAGACAGCCCAGATCACCCACATGAGTCTGGCCGCGGAAGCCTACAACTTCATATACTGCCAGCTTTTGAGTTATGAGTGGGGACAAGTATAGTTTTTGGTACAGAGATAAATAAATTTAAAATATGACTTTCACACGGTTATAAAAATGTTCTTAGTACAACCCCAAAAATATCATAAACCCAGAAATCAATTAAGGATAATGCATTCCAGTAAAGATAAGCTAATTGTGTTTGGCTTGAAAAATTCAATTTCACGTTTATAAATGTTGAATTTAGCGAATAGTTTGATCATAAAGTATATTTTGATTTCAGTAAAATAGATTTACAGAAAATATAAAAGAAAATAATTGTTTTGAGTTTAATAAAAAATCAGTTAATTTTTAGGAGCAACAAAATTATTTATTAAATTTGAGTCTAATGTTCAAATCTATGTTAACAAAATAACTGCTTACTTTTCATTAATGCCATATGAAGGTAAGTACAGCAATTACTTTCTTCATACATTTACTTTCCAGGCCTGTTTATTACTTAAAACTTTAGTATAGTTTTTCAGTCCATGCATATATATTTATAAATATATTTGCATTTATGGATTTTAGTTGTAAAGTTTACTGCAATTTTGTTCTCATTCAATATTTATGGAGATCAAACAATTGTTATTAGTAGTTTGACTTTGTTGTGTACAAGCTTGGACCCCATAACACATGTGGGACATAACCACATAGTTCAGAGCTCAGAGGTTGTGAGCGTTTATAGTTCAAAACAAATTGGGAAAACAATGAGAAAGTTTGCACCTCACAAAATTACAAATTATACAAGATGTACACAGCATTATATGAATAAAAAAACTCTGCAGTTGAGAAGACTAATCCCATGTTATAATGCATTACAAACAATATTGCATTCTTAACTTTTCTTATTTAAAAATCAAGCTCCAATGAGAATTTATAAAAATTAAAAAAATACATTAATTCAATATATTCAGCGCAAACATAAGAAAATCTGGAAGTACTTCATCAGTCAATCATGACTGCACCAAGTAAAAAAATTGAACAATACATCAAGTTTTCAAATTTGTTTATTTTAAAATTCCCATTTGTTTAAATGTTTCTCAACAAAGTATGTAGTACATTAAGCTTAGTCACCAGAAATGAAAAAGGAAAATAGTTTGACGAAATATTTGTTATTGTTTGATTTCATTTCAAAATAACTTTCTACATCCACTTGCAGAGTAAATGAAATTATAAATTTCCTTATAGAGCATGTTGATGCAAAAAGAAATGTTTCTTAAGAAAATAAATTTCTAACATTATGATGGTCTACTGATACATAAATTCATGTTAATTACAATTCAGCCATGAAAACATAAAAAATTAAAATCAACTCTTGAAGATAAGCGTTTACCTACAAAGTCAAGTGTCAATGAGCATAACTATTTTGTTTTGCAGCTCATCTGATCAGGAAATGCTTCTCTCGGTGGGATAAGGCTTAGCATCATGACATGACGAGCATAAGCTTGAGTGTTTCTGAAGACTGTATCTGTTCCATGTAAGCGATCAAGAACTCCCAAAACTCCAAAACATTGATTAAATCTAAGGACCAAAAATTATTTACATAAATAAAAGAAGGCCAGACAACAATACATTCATTTTTATGGTAAATTAGATATTTTCAACTTACTTGAGATGATGAAAATCATGCGCTTCTGGAGAAGGGAAAAAGGGTAAGTGGTAGCCAGAATGGGCATTTAGTGTAGATAGGATTGCCAAAGAAAACCAAAGATATGCAGTTGCTACATGAGATCCCATCAATAGCACACCAAGTAGTGGAGGGAGTAAATTGGAAAATATATGTTCAATAGGATGGCAATAAATAGCAGTGACAGCGATAGGGGCAGTCCATTCATGATGCCTCTTGTGAATAAAGCGATACAGGTAGCGGCTATGGAGCAATCTGTTAAATACACAAAGGGAAAAAATTTTATTCATACTTTAATTACTAATAAGTGCTATAAATAATAGTATATATGCATATAAATTCACATGAGTTCAATCATTATCTTTTATTGTCAAGTTACGTAATCATCAGATTGCCAAGACTTCTATTGAAGTTATAATATAAACCACTAGTTAAACATAATTGAACATTAACAAATCAGAGGAAATCAATAAGAAAAATTTGTTACGTATTTAAAAATCACAAGAAATAAGGAATTACTCATTGAAGTAGGTAAATACACATTTTTTCACTTCATTTTATTTTGAGCTTCAGTTAGTTGAAGGAGGTTTTGGGGTGAGGTTGTCCAAGAAAATATTTGTCTGTGTGTACCAAGTTAGTGGCATCCCCTTCCCCACAGAAGGCAAAAGAATTAGTAACTTGGAAATTTTAAACGCTTAAATTTACAATTTTATAACTTTTATTAAACAATTAAAATTTGACATCAAAATAGAGGGTTTTTTTTGCCTAATTTTATGAAGACATAGTTGATTGACCAAGTGTTGATGACATACATAGATGATTATATTCAGCAAAACAAGCCTTTTATTCGAAAAAGAGAAACATTGTTCTAACACTCTCATTCTGGGTCTCGTAGGATTATATTTCACTTCCTGCTAAGTAATCTCTCTAAGTGAACATTTACCTATGAGAATAATAAAATCCAATTTCCTCCATTAAAATAAGAACTGCCATTTCTGCCAGCACCCAATGGAAAGTAGGTAGTTCTCGTAGGGGAGGAAACCCACGCCACTGCATCAGCTTATAACTTAGAGAGGAGGCAGGTAATCCTACTACTAATTGATTAACAAGGACCCACATGATCACCTGTAATCAGAAATGTGTATTAGATTAAGACAAGTCTTGATAAAGCAATGCATTTTGATAACAAATCTTACTTTCAAAAGCTTTTTTGTTTCAACAGGTTCATTTGTTCCAGGTTGAATTTTATATCGCCGTAAAGCTGCTGGTTTATTAGTTATATCTAATATTGTGTAAATGCCTCCAAACAGCCAATATACTACAAATGTCAATAGCATTGTACCTGCACAAGAGATCAATAAATTTATTTATTTAAAACACCAAACATGTAAATAAGCAACTTAATTTTTTTTTCTCTTTTTAATTTCGAAGTAAAATTACAAAAGTGAAGTATGCCATCAAATTAAGAAATTTTTATAAACAAGAAATGTTTTTCATTTTTTTTTTTTTTTTTTAAAATAATTAACCATAACCTTACCATAAACCCAAAAGTTATATGGATCTTCACCAAAAATATCAAGAACTTTGTCCCATTGGGATTGCCAAAAGTCTCCTGATGCTCCCCAAAATCTTTGCAGATGCCTAAAATGTTAAATAAGAACAAAAAACAAATTAAAATTATTAATAGTTTGATGCTTTAATGTCACATATGGTGAAATAATTCATAATGAACTTCCAAATACTACATCTTACATTTTGGACAAATAATTTACTAATCGCATTTCCTTGGATTGATTATTCAAGATGATCTAAAATGGAACTCCCCAATCACAGATCTAAACAACAAGCTTGATTATTCAAAATGATCTAAAATGGAACTCCCCAATCACAGATCTAAACAAGCTTGATTATTCAAAATGATCTAAAATGGAACTCCCAAATCACAGATCTAAACAACAAGCTTACCAAGTCATGTTATGCCATATACATCCTGAAGGCAAATTCTAACTTAGATACACTGTGAATGGTGAACTTTGCAAATGTTCATTCACACCCAATATGGAATAATATTCTGGGGAAATTCCCCAGAAAGTATTCACACTTTCATCATCCAAAAACGAATATTGAGAACAATGGAACACTCACAAACATGTGTCCTGCAAACCACTGGTCAAAAAATTACAAATACTACCACTCCCATGCATGTACATATTTGAAATATTTATCTTCACAAAGAAGACACTTATGGGAAACAAGGATTCTGTTACTCTGAATACAGTTCATACTATGATATTTGACAAAAAAGAAAACTGCATGTTCCACATGGTGAAACTTCACTCTTTCAAAAAAGTACCCTTATAGAAGGCATTACACTATATAATAAACTTCCTAGCGAGTTTAAAAGCTTAAACTCGTTACACACATTCAAAAATAAACAAAGCTTTCCTGTTAAACCACACATTCTACAGTACAAAAGAATATATGCATCAATATAAACTAGTATTAATAATTTTTGCTTTTTCTGTTGCATGTTTTGTAACCCCCCTAAACTGGTTGTTGGATATAAAGGACAGACCCCGCCTAGGCATGAAGAATTTATTTCTTATTATTATTGATTTTTAACTTGTCTTCTTACACTACCATTATAAAATTAATATTAATTTATATTATAGCTTTCTATGATATTGTATTTAATATGAGAATTGAATTTTAAATTTAATTTATGTCTTGTAGTTAATTTTTAGAAATATCTGTATTGGGTATTGTATGATTATATACATATCCTGACTTGACATTCATGGCGTATGCTGTATTTATGTGACAAATATATGATTATGATTATATTATATATTATTATTATTATATTATTATTATTAATATTATATTATTATTATTATTACTATTATTGATTATTATATTAATTAATTATTATTACATTTTGTTATTATTATTATTATTATTATTATTGTTATAACCCATTACATGCTTGTAATAAGACTATATACATATTTACAAAATGCAATATTTCTTCTTGAAAAAACTGTTAGGTTTAATTTCAGTATTACCAAGTCTTGCAAAGATATTTGTTTGAATCAATCTTGAGTTTTAACTCGTTCCACTTGAGCACATTCATAACATGAAAACAATACAAATTAAAATTTATTAGTAAACTTTGTCTTTTTATTGATGTTCTCTACAATGCTTTTTTTTTATAAATATTAATATTCATGAATAGATCATTCTTCTCAGTATATCACTAATACCATTGAAGGTCTTCTCACATCACTTTTTACACATCTGAAAGGATCTCAAAATTTAGTACTAATGTTCCTCCACAAAACTGAAATTCTGCCTCAAACCTCACAAATTCAATTTAATATTTCATTGTTTTCAACAACAATAAATTGTAACCTTCAAACTTAAACTGTCCTGAATTAATGAGAGGTACTGATAATAATTACTATACCATGTTAATGTATTTCTGAAGGCTGCAAATCCAATAAGAACTGTACTTATTACAAAAAGAACACTTCTAAGAGATGAAAGTAGTGTAGGTTGCTGATTTGTTGCTGCTGTGGTTACTTTCTTGTCTTCCAAACTTAAGGATGGCTGAAAATCAGCCATAGTGGAATCTGAAAATTAAACAAGGAATTAAAATGTTGCCATTACATTACCACTATACATTACATTACCTTATCAACATTACAGGGAAAAGATAATGTAAAGTATTTTTGTTTTTAGAGGCAAAACATAAACAACCATTCAATAGAAATAAAAATAAGATGAAAGGAAGGCAAAAAAATTAATCAACACTACAAAATTGTCTAACAGAATAGAAAGACAGAAGTTAAAACACACTTTGATATGTAATTCAGAGTGATTCTTCAGTAACATTTGTTTTGCTTTACATTTTATATCCTTTAAATAATTATCTTTTGAATTGGTATTATTTGCATTTTAGTATGTAACCTGTGTGATAAATTTATTTTTCAGAATTATTCATATTTCACAGGACATGCCCTGTTAATAAATAGGTAAATAAATAAACAGTTCACAATAATATTTAAATTTTCAATTGCAATGGTAGCAAATACTTTCATAGCACATTACTAAAACTTACATTTATTGTAGGCACAAAAATGTACACATTACATAAGATTTTCAACAAAATATTTAAGACTAATTTCAACTCTCTAAAACTCACTTTAAGATTGGCATACAAAAGGAACAAAAATAATTGAAGATGATAATAAAAGGTAAAGGAAATTATATCTGGTGAGAATTAACAAAATTGTAAGAAAAAAATGGTTGATAAATTAATATTGTTTTGGGAAAGATAATTCAAAGTTGTAATTGGCTGAACAAATCAAATTGAAATGGTATGGCCAAATTACAATTTTTGATTTTTAAAAACTTGTTTACCATTCCACTAGATATTAATCATCACAGTCTGTCCCCCAGTTCTTTGATCAAATGTACACCTTTAAGAAAGTCACACACAAATATTTTTGAAGGTATAGTTACTAGTTTGTTAGAGCTTAATTCTTAACACAACTCCCATTTTAAAAAAATTCAGTATGCATAAGTTTGAAACAATGTAGTGTAAAACTATTTTTAAAAGTCTCTTCCTGCAATAAATACACAAAATGTTAAAAGTTGTTATCCAACTAGTGCTGCGAATATAATCTACAAAAATATGTCCATAATTGGTATCAATGACAAACAAAAATATGTAATATTACCTTCCATTATCTTTTTGAAAACATTCGCATCCTCTCATTCATTTTTCAAACGTGGCTCTTTTCGTCACAAGTACAAGGTCAGTCGTTGACCTCCTACACAAAACATTGTAACGAAAATAAATATTCGCGCAAAATTCAAACGTTTCCAACAATCATTGTTGAACTTTTATCTTTAATATTACAACAAATTAAACCCTATCAGATGTTTCTTTGTTTTAAAGAAAAATAGTTCTAAAAAGTTGAATTTCGTAACTATATTTCATCGAGGCCTAAAACGTCAAATGGTTATTGTGACAGATCCACTGAGATTTGATGACTGAGAGTAATGACATGAGCAAAGAATTGAACGTACTTCTCAAACGATTTTTCTTTTTCCTGTTGGAAGACATTTTACGGAAACCCATAGCTTAAAATTGAGCGAACTCTTCGTTCCGAAGCACACAAGCAATCTGTACTTCGTTCAACGCAGCGTAAGCGCAGCAACTCGCGCAGCGGAAAGACGGACGCATGGGAGGTGGAGAGGGGGAAGGGACGCACAAAGACGCGAAAAATTTTCTTGAACGTCATTCACACTTCAGACTAATCAAGGGTCGCTGTGCGATATGGAATACCAAAATCGTAAGAGTAAGGTCATTACTTTCACTCAGCAACAATGCACTTGGTATTACACCCACCACCGGTCGTATTCCAGCAGTCGTATCATATTCTTCCATCTTTTTTATCTTCTTTGTTTAGAGGAAAGCCTCAATCTTTGTTTTCACCGAAATGGAAGGCGAAGAAAGAAAACCTGATACAACTTATACCATTAGTACGCCTGTTGCCGTGCATATTGTGTTCTCGCAACGGGAAAGAGGTACATTGAAGTGTCAATAGTAATAGTAATTATAATCAGCATTTTGAAGTCTTTTAAATTATGCACATTCGCAGGGTTTCGGAATTTAGTGAGACATAGTATGTTTCACTAGAATTCGCGTAACCGTATCAGTACTGAACATAGAAATCCACTGTTTGAATTGTCGCATGGCGTGCGTAATACATCTCTTTGAGCGAAAACCGGTTACAGGTTTGTTTCTGTACGTGAAACCTGTGCTGTGAGAGAAATAGGTAATGTCACATTCTCGCAAGCTCTCTCAACTCACGTGCGCACACACACTCTCAAGCATACATTTGCACGACGCCATGCCGCAAACAAAGTGTGTGGTATATATATAATATATATATATAATATATATATATATATATATTAATATATATATAAGTCAATCTCTCATCGCTCTCTCGCGCTCTCTCTCTCGTCTCTCACACACACACACAGACAGGCAGACAAATAACACACAACACCAGACAGACAGCAGTAACACACACACACAGACAGCAGACAGTAAACACACACAGACAGGCACAGACAGTAACACACACACAACAGCAGACAGACAGTAACACGCCACACATGACAGACAGAACAGTAACACACACACAGACAGACCATAACACACACTACACAGACAAGACAGATACACCACACACACACACAGGACAGTAACACATCACACACAGACAGCACACACACAGACAGACACACACAGACAGACACACGACAGTAGACACACATTACCCTGTGTGGTTGCCGGGTTTTTTTTGTAGAATAGGCCAGGACCTCCGCCTGTCGTAAAGCGACTAAAAGGGAGCAGCTTCCGCTCGTCCTTTCCCCTAATTACTTACCCTTCCCAGCCTAGTTTTCCTCCATCCCAGCAAATCCAATAGGTGGAACCTGAGTACTAATGGGGATCTTGCTACCTATCCCTACGAAAAATTCCCCTTCTCACTTCTTCCAATTCCATCTCTCTGCGGTAGCATATAAAACGCTAGGAAGGTCTCCCGAAAATAACAGTGATGGAATGAGTAGCCTCAAAAACTTACTACTCCAAGCGAGTCGAGCGTTGACGCCGAATCTCGCCCCGATCTGATCGGGTGAAAGCCGCGATAGTCGTGCGGCTCCATGTTTTAGGGTGGATGTCAAGGCTCACAAGTGTATCTGGGAAGAGAATAAGAGAGCTGAAGTTTTGGAGTTGGGGAAGAAGATCGGGGATCTCCTTGCAATTTGTCCTGCCAGGAATAATGCCACGGGGAGAATAAAGCCGTAATTGGTTCAGTTCCATCCGTCTTTGATGAGATGGTGGGACATGGAGGAAGTCCACTATCTGTAAAAGCTCGAAGACAGTTGAGGCGGAACGCAGACTCCCTCAGACATGGGGTGTCAGCCGAATACTGATGGTTATGGAGGGGCCATCGACATACAGCGGAGGTGCAGCTTCGGGTGAACGATTATTGGCGCGAAGACTGTTGAGGCGCGACACGGACTCAGCCGCTGACGTCGGGTGGTTTGGCCGGAATTCTTGATGATTCGTGGTTAAAGGTCCTCGCGGCGGAAGTGCGAACCGCAGTTAATGATGTGATTTGCCTGAGACGGTGGAGGGGAGACGCAGGTTTCACCACAGACTCTTGATTAATTGGCCGAATGCTGATGAATTGTGGTGGGTCCTTGACAGCGCGGCGGAGTGCGGGACCACAGTAGGCGTGTTGACGATTCCGTCGAGGAAAAGAGAGACCGCTGAAAATCTACGAAGTGGCAGAGAAGAAAGCTTCAGAAGTGCGGTGCAGGAAGGAACATTCACATGTGAAGTCCTCCAGGTACGTTTTTTGCACAACCGTCTGATGAGACCCACACCAAAATCATGAGATGGAATTGGCATGCGTAGGGAGGAAGAGACGGTGGCCGCCAAAGCCGCACTCTATCGCCCCGAACTCGTTATTGTTAAGGCAAATCGACGGAGGCCCTTCTATGCAGATATTCTAAGGCAGATCAAGGGGCGACCCATCTCTGAAAGATGCTGGTGAGAACGTCGCAAAGTGAGAGGAATGCAAGCTGGATACCTGCTGCTGGATGCGAAATCTGCAGCAGCCTCCGAAATCTGAAGCATATCCAAAATAACTGGGCGAGTTAGCAAGAGTAACGCACGCGGAGAGACGAAACGACTCTCGAGATTCGCGACCTTGAGAGCTGACAACCGGCGGACTGAAGTCTGTGACAGCTGTAAGCAGGAACTGAAAACTCACCTGTTGAGCCTAGAAAGGTGTGCATATCCGTACGGAGGGCTTACAGAGGCACACAAACTGCAGTGGTCCGTCTACCGACGAAACTTAGCAGGAGGCATGGAGGAGCCGCCGTTTTCGCATTGGTGGGTAAAGCTGCGCGCGTTAAGAGAGAAGTAAATTGTGGCGGAATTGTTTATCGTTGTTGGAACGTTTCGGACATCTGGCGCGCGACTGCCAAGGGACCGGACAGGTCGAAATGCTGTCACCCGATGCGGAAGAAGACGGCCACTTGCGTCAGGCTTGCAAAAGCGCCGAGCGAGGTTGGTGCTCTGCAAATAAGAGGACACCCGACCGGGGAGTTCATCTGTGCCGCGGCGTACCAAGTAGAATTGAAGGCAAACAGATTAAACGAAGAATGAGTTCTCCAGCTAAAAATTTAAATCATTGCGAGGCGGCCACGGCTCTTCTCACCAGACGGTGCGCGAGTATGAATATTAGATGTTGCAATACTCTGCGAAGGCAGTTCAGAATATTTGTCGTTTTCATCCTGGGTGTTCGGATGCGACTAACGAGCTGCAAGTCATGGATTATGTGGTAAATATCCAGTCCAGATGTTATGCAAGTCCCAGGCAAGGATTACACTGATCAAGGTTCGGTGTACCTATTTCTTAGTGTCTATGCTTGCACCCGTGCATCGCTTGAGGAGTTCGAGGAATTACTCGATCGTTATAGAGACGCGAGAGAACGAAGGCCTCTTGATTATTGCTGGGGACTTCAATGCCATGGGCCACGGAGTGGGGCAGCAGAGTAACGAAATCGAGCGGGTGGCTCTCCTGGACAGCCTTGACAGTTTGATGTCGCCTCTGCATACACGGGGCCGTCCGCACCCTTTGGTAATGAATGCGTCGCAGCTCCGGTCGTCGACCTAATTTCGTCTGTAAAAGCCTTGCTAGACGTATTGTATCATGGGAGGTAGTGCACATTGATTACACATATGACCACCAAGCTATTGTTGTATAAAGTGAAAGAAGCAGCTGCAATGTTGAGCTCACCAAGGGGTCAAGGAAAGCTGTCTGGAACCACATAGACGTTCGATCGTGATCCTTCCTTGCATGCATGGAGGGCACCCTGAAGATAGTGTTGGCCCGTGACTCTGAATTATTGTAGAAACCGTTATGACGGGTATTTTGAACGGCTTGTGAATCGTCAATGACCAAAGGTCCAGGAGAGAACGCGTCTCCAGTGGACTGGTGAACTGACGAGATCGCGGACCTTCGCAGGGAATGCACCCGAAAAAAAAACAAACCGGGTAAGAAAAAAAATTTGGGCACAGTCGCGCCTGGAGACGCCCATAACATACGAATTTCTCAAGAAGCAACATCTGGACCCAGAAGAGCTTTCACAAAAGTAATTAAGATTAGAGTGGATGCTGACCTGGGACGCCCGTTAAGCTGGTGACTGGCCAGACTCAGGGGTAAATGTTCAGCGCGACCACCCACTTGCCCGTTTTTCTTGGGAAAAGTTGTAGCTACCTTGTTTCCTCGCCAGGTAGATATGTTACAACCGAAGGATTGTCTCGAAGATCTAGCGAGGTCCGAGCAGTCACGTTGGATGAACTTTCAGAGCTTGCGGCAAAGGTCGCAAGATTGCAAAGCCCGATTTCGATGGGTACGCAAATGTAGCAATCTAAGGACCGCTATTAGACTCGGCCCCGATCTATCTTGCAGGCATATGAATGCAGCATACGCGAGGGAATTTCCCCCGTCGATGGAAGCCAGCAACAGCTAGTCCCTTCTTCGAAGGCGCTAAGGCACCTACTGATCCGGCAGCCCTATCGACCAATATGCTTATGGCTCACAGGCAGGCAAAGAGTTTGGAGCGTGATTATCTGCAATCGTATGATCATTTACAGATGGGCCTCAAGGATGTTGACTAATCAGTACGGCTTTAGAAAAGCGAGATCCGCGGTAGATGCTATTTAAGGCAGTCATCGACATCGCACGCAAGGCCATTGAAGGCATAACGATGGAAAGGCGGTCCTAATTAATATTGGTGCTATAGGTAACCCTAGACGTGCAAAACGCCTTTAACACTGCAAAGGTGGAGCTCCATTCTTCTGCGCTACAAACTCTGGAGTCCAAGTACATCTCGAATTTGTAAAAAGTTCCTTTAAGGAGAGAGTCCTCCTATATGAACGGGTCTGGAGTACAATCTTATACGGTCACAGGCGGTTCCCACAAGGCTCGTACTTGGTCCGATGTGTGGAAACATTAATGTATGACGCGTGTTGAAGCTCGAGTTGCCGGAAGGTGCAGAACGATTGGATTCGCTGAACGATGTTGAAATTGTCGTTGTCGGCAAATACATCGAACAAGTCACGCAGGTTAGGCTGTGGCGGGATCCGGCGGT